ATATATATATATATATTAGGATACATAAAGCTTTCCTTCAAATTCTCCTTGCCCCAGGTCCATCCATCTGGGCATACACCGATGACCACTGCAACCTGAAATCAGCTTCGTCTGTTGGTAGAAAAGGCTATGCAGGGACTCGCACCTACGGCATGCCCCAGCGGGGTCCATCTGGGCATACACCGATGACCACTGCAACCTGAAATCAGCCTCGTCTGTTGGTAGAAAAGGCTGTGCAGGGACTCGCGCCCACCTACGGCATGTAAATACTGAGGTTTAGTCTTACGAATATCTTTCCAGTTTTGCCTCACAATCTTCTTTGCATGTAAACTGTGTCCTATGCTTTTTGCACACTTTGGCAACCTCATTTATAGCCGGAAAATAAAACCAAATAACGTCGCTATTGGCCGAGTTCGCGTGGCGTTCATCACAACGTTTTTGCCGTGTTTTGAAGCCAATGTGGTTCTGCTCAGAAGTTGCTTCACCAAAGGAGACCAATTGTATGCGACGAATTACACACATTTTGTCATGGTCTACCGTGCACCGCAATCAACGTACACGTTGATCATTTTAGTATAAAATGGTAATCACCTTAATCACATCACCAAGTTCAGTAAGAACGCATTGTCTTGGACCCGGATAGTGATAGCTTTTCAGACAGGTACGTCGAACATTTTACATTGCTGTGTGTCATCTTTGATCATCATTATGGCTTTTTAAAAACGTTGTTAATCGTAAATTAACCTCGAAAATATAACCTTTCCTTCTTTGGTGTGGTTCTACAAGGATAACTTTCTCGAGGACATCAGGAAGACTGTTCAAACTAGTAAGATGTGAATGTGGAAAGCCGAAATTCTCTTAGGGGTTGTTTAGTCACTATCATGAAGAGTCAACTTCTTCTCGGCACACATTGGTTTTATTGTAGGTTTATTTAAGACGTTTTTTCTGGAGGATTTCTTTTGAAAATATCAGGATATAGAGGTATAGAATAACAACAACGTGTATCAATATAGTATGAATAAACACTGGGCTGTTTGACCGCAAAGTACTCATATAAGTGAAACGGGGTCGCTGTGTGACAAGCACGGGTTTTAGTTTTCAAAACATTAGGCGTGATTTCAAACCGCACTCAGCTACGTCGAAGGTGCTAGCCAACATGGAAAGAAAGATAGAAATTTCGGGGAGTGGCTACATTTGAAGTTTCGTTCACTCAGATGCGCAGATTGAACTGTTAGAAAACATACATACGCATATATATAACATGACGCTGCTGTAGCACCCTTTCGGTGCCTAACTGCCATGCCACCCGAAGGAGACGCGAGGGCTGGGATACTCACACGTTGCCCAAGCCTGGACAGTCGAGAGGCAGAGGTCGGATTCGAACCACGGACATTTCGGTCAGCAAATTCGCGCTCCAACCACTTGGGCCATCTCGACCCGTTAGAAAACACAGCCTTAATCTGTATCTTTCTTGTACAAGATGGTTGTTTTGAGTTTGTGTATCAGATTTTGGTGGCATCTTCTGAAGATAAACTTGTTTGTTATTTCTGATTATATGACAGTCTTCGGGGTTAGCTTTTAGTCCGACATAAACTGTCCAGGAGTTCCAAACTGGACTTGCGCGCGAAACCTCAGTGCTTCTCTTCTCTGGAATGCGGTCTTCATTTTGAGGGCTGTTCGACCAGTGTTTACTTTCAGTTCCTCAGTAAAAAATCCTCGACTTACCAAGGCTTGTGGCCTGATTGACATAAACTTAACTTTATCTATCGAGTCTCACAAGCCGGTAGTGTTTCACGTTTTATATAGTGGTGATTTAACAGCAATGGGCATCCTTTGAAGAATTCATCAAGTGAGTCAATGAGGTTCGTCCGATTGCCATAACATCCTGTTTACTTCAAAAACCACTGCCCATTAATTATCAAAACCTCTGTAAATGTCAGCTAAACGAACATTGTAAACAGTTTACTGCGCTGTTTTGTATTACGGCTGAGGGTGATATTTCATATTTCAGGTAGAGCTGGCTGACCCACAAAAGTCGAGAGGTATTTTAGGACTGTTCCGTGCTTTATGTGCAACCCACGAATTCCCGAGGAGTTTTGAGCACGGGACACTTCGTTAGTGGTATTGGTTAGTACAAACCTGACCTTCAGCGCCATGCCTTTATATAAAACTGGTAGTAAATTCTAGTGACTTTCCAGTTGAGAGTTTTGATTCAGGGTATGCAAACAAGCAACCAGTATAAAGCCGTCAAAGTCCTCTTATTCCGTACGTTATGAAACTACCGTATGCAAGGGCAGTAAAATATTAAGGCAGATGAATATCCATCCGTTTCTTCCCAGTGAAGAACCGTTCTGTTCCGGGACAAGACCTCCGAAAAGGAACTGGGAGCATTTGGCCCCGTTTCCTTTCAAAAGTGACCACATTTTCTGAGAACTTGGTGAACGAGACAAAAGTTGGCTGTGACAGCTGTTTCACACATAGCGAACCAGGATAAGCAAGCCCCAAGCCTAGCTGTTCGATTAATTGTGCTAAATAGCTCTGATAGTGACTGTCTCATGGGCACGCCAGCAGAACGTGGACTGGACAGTGGGCTTCATGTTGATTGGTTTAATTGCACTTGTTAAGGCGATAAACAGATTAGCAGGAAGCTTGATCATCCGGTGACATCTCAGTCAATTTTATTGTGATTATTCACATACGCAGATGAATACTCCTTTCAAAATGATACATTTTGTCCTCCAAAACGAGTGGAGATCCTTCAACTTATTGGGAACCATTCTAACCATGAGAAGACAGTCAACAAGGAGGCATAGAGGACAGGGGAGATGTGAGATTTTCTGTAAGCTATTTACGCAATAAGATTATGTGCGGCTCAGATCGCACATTGGTGCTGCAGACAGACCAAAGTTTCATCAACAAAACGCCAGTAAAAGATGACTGACCAATTAAAAACATCGCTGGTTTACATCGTAATGGCTGTTATTTCGGATACATTTGAACAAGCATTCGTTGGAGTGGAACTCGGGATTCGTCTCTAAAATTAAACAAGATATTATATTTGAAAAATACACCCATTTGCAAATCAGTGTGGTTCTCACGAGAGACTCAACTGGATCTCTCATTTTTATGATTTTCAAATGAGTGTATTTCTCGGAAACAGTCCTATTTGGGTTCAAGTAGATCATAAGGTTGACGGAAACTCGGAGACTGCGCCTAACTGATGAGCCCCGAGAAGGGCAAAACCGGTCGTGGGCTGTCAAAGAGTTTTCAGCAACCTTGTGAGTAGTTTCCTTTAAGAAAAAAAGATATTACATTTTTTATGACAGGAGTCTATGCGGAACTGCTTCTTCGAGGCAGTTGTCTGCGCTCTCCAAACAAATATCATTCGGACACTTAAACGGTGGTTGCAATGAACCTACATTCTAAAATCACAGACATAAAAAATTGCAGAAATTGTTTTGCCCGTCAAAAGCTACACAACCCCGCACTGAACCTTTGTGGAGTAGGGAACATCTGTCAGATCAGAACAGGCTGTTCACTGAATTCCGCGTGACGGAGGCATATCAATCTGAACAAAGTGTGCTAGCTATCGCAGAACCCTCACCAGTCGACGTGGGCTACGGGCACAAACCACGATAGTAGTGTTGATTGCAGGAAATTCATTCCTACTCGCAATAATAATTATGATATTGACAGAACGGTTTATAGATCGATACGTGGAAAAATTTCAATCTTTTGATGGTTTAAGACAGTTTGAAGTCCGTATTATGCAGTTCACCATCACACGTGGCCACAAACATCCGACTATTTGAGATGGCATAGAAGAGCAAAAAACAAATTAAAAACACACGGCAAATGATATGATTGATGTGATGAAAAGCCTTACTCAGACATTCGAATGAAAGAGAGGACAGTAGATTTTTCCACAAAAAAAACACGTTCGATCGATTCAGAGGCATTGAGATATGTCGCTTAGAGTCTGCTTGGATTCTCTGGAGTTCACGTGACGTTGTTTTCACGGCGCTGTAATGGGGCAAGCTGGTAGTGTACAATCAGACCACAGGCATAACCATGTTCGTTGTACAACGAAGCTACCTAGAAACAGACAGACCAAACCTATCCCTTTGCGACACTTTTGCGGAACTATTCTAGTAAATAGCTTTAGGTTCTTTCACTGTCAGGCGCGACAAGACACGCAGATACCACAGAGAATGTTGTAAAGAGTACATCGTTCACCATCAGCTAAATTTCACCACACCGGACATACGATCAAACATCGCTAACAGGGAACTCATATATCATTAAAGAACAACTAGTCTGCTTGCAATACCCACGGAGAGTTTGTATAACAGCCGGGTGTTGCCGGCTGCGGGAGAATTTCGATTGAAATTCTTTCCAAAACAACTGGGACGTGGTCTCTTCAAGGTCCTAAAATTTACTAGAAAGGGAACAACCGGAATCTATTCCGGTATCTATTGAGGTTGGTCTCTCCAGAGTAGAAAGGATAACGTTATGTCTAATCCGTCGCTTCGAACCTGCTCATCTAAATCTTTAATTTTCTGGTCAACAAGTCACATTTTTGTGCTGTCATGTTAAATGTGTATATTGATCCAACGCACCAAGTGATTCGTTTGACTGTCCTCGGTTAAATAACCAGATCTAGTGGGGAATTTAGAGTGAATTTTAGAGCCAAATGCATCAAAATTTTCTGAAGAGAATTCCTGCTAATCAGCAGTCGGAATGAACACCTGGCCAGGAGACGTCGCATTTTGGGTTGGCGTTGGACATAGCAATATAAACACTCCCAGCTCTCACCAGCGCTCACTACTTGTATAATCAGCTGGATCAATGTATTGTTCATGTTATGACATTTGAGTTCGAGCGACGACCCACAAGAAGAGGCATACGAGAGCAATTCTTAGAGGTGACCAAAATATATCGGCTCTGAGACACCGGCAAAATATGTCACCCTCATATGAATAACCGTGTTCAATTCTGCTCATCATTATGGTTAATGAGTGAACTGCGGATGTCACGCGGAACGCGTCAAGTGATAAAAAAATTGATACACATTTTTGTAATGCTCAAGATACTAAATATCGATAATGTTCATGGAATTTTTGCTCAGTCAGTTCAGCGAGGCTTCGTCTACACAGCACCGCCTATAACTTTCCGATAGTCCACTGACGGCTCAAACCTTCTTTGGACGCATTGGAAAGATGTGGTCCCAGAGTTTTCATCAAACGTAAGCAGTGGACTCAAGTTTCGCTCTTATTGGAGCTCATCGGCAGTGCATGCCTTTGGTCTTGCCGAGATATGAACTATGCACATCCGATGTGTGTGGCGAGCGTATTACCACTATTCGAGTAGCGCCTGCTGGACGTGGGTGTCCGCATTATCACCTCTGAAGAAGCGATGGTGTTCACAGTCGAGCGTGACTGGTACCCACAAGGCAACTCAAGTCCAATACTCACCTCTTCTGCCGTGGACTCACTAGAATAATTGCACCAGGAAAGAAGTAGGACCGTTCAAAACAAAGTCATAGTACGTGAATAAGTCCAATGCTCACCTCTTCTGTCGTGGACTCACCAGAATAATTGCACCAGGAAAGAAGCAGGACCGTTCAAAACAAAGTCATATGTACGTGAATGTATCGCTTCCTCATAAGAGTTGACAGATGCTGACCGGATCACCTAAACTGCCTAACATCTCCAAGCACCTAGCTGAGACGTCCCGACCCTTCATGACAGTGAATCTCTGCATCCAACTGAACATGACAGCCGATGCGAGTACTTTATGTGACGTGAGCTGTATAGCCTTCCTCTGTTGGACTTGAACACAATTTTGATGAGCTCAGCGCACGTGCACTTTCTGAAACAGATCATTCCATGGACCGCATGAACCTGGCTCTAACAAACTCACACTGTACATCTGGGACATTCGGTCGTCGAATTGTTCATTACAGTATCGACAGAAGACTTACTTAAACAGGTCTAGGTCCAACTATTTGCCAGATATGTTAAAAAACTCAACAATAGTCGCAAAAATGCGCGTCCTGCGAAGGGAAATTATCGATCAATCAACACATAGTCAAAGATGACTACGTTTGGCGCTTGGTGGAACAGTTCTAAACGGGAACAGACTGTATGAGACGGTGTACTGTGGTACGATATGCAACCCCACTACGCTTTTCAGTGTTTCAAGCTCGCTGTGGAACCGGTAGATAGTAGCGCAGACACGCAGTTTTGTCACACAGTCTTCTACTATTGTATACACAAAAAGACGCAGTTTAGAAGGGAACAGTACCAACTACTATGTTAGGACATCATACAGTTCAAACTGGTATGGGTAATCCACAGTCTTTCTGCGTAGTAACCTGTTCAAAAAACCGGGATCAGTAGCTAATGACTTTAATGATATCGTTATGATGGCCCAGGTCTTACACCCATTCGGTGTCCAGCTGACATGCCGCCCGAAGGAAGCTCGATGGATGACATTCTGCCTGGTTGCCCAAGCCTAGACAACAGTGGTTGAGCTGCCGAGTGTGGGTTCGAGCGAAGACGTTCCGGTCAGTAAGTTCACATCCCAACCAATGAGTTTTCTCGAACTCGTAAGCCTATTACCATTGAGAATATCACGCATGCATGGTACTGGTGCTTAGCAGCATTTGCTGTCAGCACACACGTTTGGTTTTCAAAGATTCCAAGAACTCTGTAGCTTCTGGGTATGCACCACGCGTCATGTGCACCCAAACGTAAGCTACTTGGTCTCTCTCCTGGTATAAGTAATGGTCACCGATTAAATTCAGTATGTTTGCGCCACAACAGGCTCTAAATACCGTAAATCTGGGCAAAATGCTCAAGTAATCAAAACTAACGGTCGCACATCTGCCGGAGTTCAAAGTGCTCCATGTAGCGAAGAACGGGGTGTTGATTTTGACATCACTCACACGATCAACTGTTTCGTGGTCACATTAAGTGATTTATGCGTGCCATAAAGTTAATATTCGACATGATGAATAGCAGTGCCTAAAATTTTCTAAAACTGGTGAAATATATATGCCGAAACGTAAATAGCAGACACAGTATATGCAATAAAACTTTACTGATCTGGTTTTATCTCACGAAATTGAAAAAAATGATTTTTTTATGGAATAGAATGGGAATAGAATGGGATCACGGGAATTCGATGTTGAGCGGTGTAACTACAAAAATAAAAATTTCTCCTACATCTTATTTGTACCAACTCTTGAAGATCCATGGAACAAACGATACGAACTAAAATTGTGTGAGAAAATTTGAAAATTTTTACCAGGTATTTCGTCCTGCAATTGAAGCAAATTTAAGCTGATATGTCGATAATCTTTGTACGGCCGCTTCATCCTCATTGGGAATCATCAGCATTGCACGTCTTGAGGAACTTCATGTGACGTCCTATTCAAACTGCCGATCATTTGCTCATGGCAGAAAGTGCTCGCAATAAAACTACTGATCAAGATTCGCGGGTTCGAATCTACCTTGAGTCTCGAAAGATGCGCACTAATGGCGAATCCAGTAAGGATGCAACAGGTACACAGTTTTTCTCGGCTTTTCAGCACAGATTTACTTCACTTACAGGAAGAAATCTTCGTTGAAACATTTGTACTGCCGCGAAATTTTGGTAGACGTGTGGTTTCTGTTGACTGTCTGTCCCACTGTTAACGGATAACTTTTGGAAGCTGAAGTTGCATACCACACTACTGAAACCAGTACAGTAACCGGCAAAAGAAGAATAGATTTTTACAGAAACCTGTTTTAGTTATTTTCAGTGTTTTCTGAGGCAGGTAGGATAGAGCAAATGCTGCAATACCGATAATTTTCAGTAAAAAAGACGAAATTTAGAGCCCCTGAGATAATTCGTCATTGAATCTCTGTGTGTGTTTAGGAACAAACTCATCAAATTTTTGCCTTGTTTCAGAATGTTACAAATGACAGATACAACAAGGAAGATTTGGGCAGGAGTCGTGGCTTACAGGACCCTTGTATTCATCGTAATCTATCCAATGATCTTGGTTCCCGTTCCACTTTTGAATCCCGGAGAAGTGAGTCCTTTACTGTCCAGAGGTTACTAAACATTCTTTGACAGCGCACTTTCTGCTCCGCCTGTCTTCCGGCATAGCCCCCTAGTCTCGGTCAACCTTATGTTTTATGTGAACCTAAATTTGACACAATTCTAGAAATACACCTATTTGGGTTTATCGGGAGACTCGCCTGAATCCTAGCCAAATCTTCTGTTTACAGTATTCATCGACTTGATGTGCTACACAAGGAACATCTCGTGGTTCAACTCAAGATATCACTGTAGAGTTTCCTGATTCATCAGCTGAAATATGACCTGGTCTATTTGCACCATATACAGCTGAACAAGAATGTCGCCTTCCAGAGGTTCAGCTGAGATTCATTTGAGTCTTCCGTTGATACTACTTTGAACACTACTCAAATTATGTGTATATGGCTTTCCACTTAGCCTACTGAAGCTGGCACTATGGCGTACGACCAAGGGTTATGGTTTGAAGGCAAGTTGGAATAGAAAAACAAGCTTTTCCCTTTGATTCCGGCTTGTTTAGCAGAATGATGTTGAAAAATTCGCCATCTGAATTAAGGACATTCAAAATTTCAAAAAAAAACTTCACTCCGTGTAGTTGGCCTGATGAAGCTTTTGTGTCAAAAGCGAAACGTTGCCCAAATAAAAACTACCGATTGTTTACCAAGCTCTTCTGAAAAGATTTATAATCAGTTTCCTGAATACTGATATGATCCCATGTTGCGTGCTAACAGCAACCCAACATGATCAGATTGGTAAGCCAGTTTATTGCATAAATGTGTGACAGTCGTCTGAGTTCCAAGATATCGGACGAAGTATTTTGAATCGTCTCTACCCCTACTTGGTGGTCTGCAATCGTAATACGTGCAAACCGATGATTTAGAATGGCTAACTGAAGGGCAGCTCGCAGATTGCGCTTTACAGAGTACAGCGGGATAATCAACAAGCACGCGGAGACAAACCGATACGGTCTAAGATGTTGAACACTGGTAAGGCACAACTTCACCAGTAACGGTCGAGTAGTACGCTAGGCCGACTATGCGAAATATATCTTAAAGAGGGGCGGATGTTCTCTGGGTCCACCCTTAACATCAGCTTTGCGTCAATCTTTAAAACTCCATATTAGTGTAAATCCTGGTTGGTGGTTATTCCAGAGTATGCGTGTTCGATGAACATGAAGTTTTACAAGGCTCCCTGGTTGATGGGAATCCACGAACAACAGAATCAAGTCGGCAGTTCATCAGGTGCGACGAACACAAATTGAGAGTTGTGGTGTTCGTTGAGGGACGACGTTTACTCTTATCCGTCAGATCACAAAGTGACGGAATAGGAAGGAATACACAGTAGCCCAATGCGAAATGGAGAACTGGCTGTGAAGCCTATTCGGTGGAAAATGGACCTTGTTTGATTAAATTTTGCGGAAATACCTGATGACAAGTCCCTACACTGTAAAATATACGTTTTTATCCAGATCACTCTTGTTTGAAATCCGTCTCCTGCCCGGGTGCGATCACTCGGTTTGTTCCAGACCAATGTGTCGGTGTGATGACCCCGACTTCGTTCCCATTTCCGTTTATTGGTAATGCGAGAAAGGACCCTCCAGATGTCTGGCACACGAGACCAGAGACTGCTGGAAGAAAGTCGACTGAGGGGCGGTGAACAGGTAAACATGTTCAGAATTGGGTTCCTGGTCAGCCAATCGATCGACACATCCTGGATAATCCAATCACTCGCAAGTAAATATGTCCGGTTGTGCACTGGCGACGACGCTGACGATCAGCTGATTGCGCCCTTCTCTCTGCTCCAAACAACAAATCAATAAACGACTGAAATGAGTGAAAAAAGAGGAAATTTAACAACTTACACTGGATAGGAGCAATAGAACTCGATGAGAAAACGGCTGTTTACATGCGTTTCGCATATCGCATGCGGAAATCATCGCACCATCTTGATATGTGGGCGGAATAGGAACTGCGAATCGCAGGAGAGCGTGGAAACGGAAATATGGAATGGCTTTCAAGGTGTAAATTGCGGTAAATCTACTCGCACATCAAAAGTACATTTAGATAAGTCCCATAAATCTGTCAGAGTTTTCGGTCAGGAGAACCAGTCCGCATTATCAGGTACTGAATTTGTACCCGAAATTCTTGAGCAGACTGATGTGAGAAGTGAAAAAGCAAAGATTGGGGCCGCTCCAAAGTGCCGAACTCTCAACAGAGTTCTGGATGACATTCCATCCGTTTTGTCCAGAGTCTTCCGAAGCTCACCTGGGATGAAAAACCGCCTAGCATATTAGCGAATATGCACTCACTTACAAACTAATTTGGTTTTTTGACTCATCTGGAAACCAGCTGAATCTCTCGTTTTTGATGATTCCAGGCAACTGAATGCGCTGCACCAGGTTGCCTCATGTTTCAGTCGCTACGATATTCGAGATATCGCGGTACATGTATATCTTTGTAAGCTACTACTCATAAGGTTGTTGGAAATCCGTCGACAGCCCACGATCGGTTTCGCCCTTTTTGGGGCTCATCAGGTAGGGGCAGTCCCCGGGTTTCCGTCAACCTTATGTTCTACTTGAAACCAAATGGCACGAAATTAGCGAATATACACTCATTTGCAAACTAATTTGGAGCAGTACATTACAAAGATATACATGTATCGCGATATCTCGAATATCGTAGCGACTGAAACATGAGGCGACCTGGTGCAGCACATTCAGTTGCCTGGGAACATCAGAAACGACAGATTCAGCTGGTTTCCGGGTGAGTCTCGGGAAGAAACAACTTAGTTTGACAAATGAGTGAGTGTCTATTGGCTAATTTGGTGCAATTTGGTTTGAAGTAGAACATGGGGTTCCGGGGACTGCGCCAACCTGATGAGCCCCAAGAAGGGCGAAACAGGTCGTCGGCTGTCGACGGATTTCCAGCAACCTAATGAGTAGTACACTACGCGTGCTATATTGTTTGATTTCACTCCACTCCCTCTATCAGCTCGGCCATGCAGTTATACAACTGTACCCCGTTCTACCTATGGGATGTTCTCATATCCCACGAATTCTCAATCGCGCTACGCCCAGGAATGAATGTCCGAAACATCCGTGTGACACAACGATCTTGTCAAGGTGATATATCGACCATTGTGATTCCCTGCCAAAATGTCTCGTCTTCATGTGCATTTAAGCTGCCTTAGTAATAATTCTAGAGTCTGAATCTGCGCGTTAGCATCTTGAATGAGTCGCATTCCCCTGGAGTGAATACGAGTGCATCAAACAGGGCTGCCACGCTCCCAATTCACACGTGCTCCAGGTATATGAACAATGAATAAAGTCATCACTGCTCCCTTGTAACACTGCGTGCGGTTTATGGCGATCGTCATCAAACTTGGGACCATTTGAACTTGGCGCGTTTTTCGATTTCTCGTGCTCTGATTGGTTGAAGGCTTCGATTGGTCCCGTTGGTAGCGGACACTATTTGTAAGTGAAGTCGATCTACCCTGAAATGTAGAGTGGCATGTATAACTGTTCGCTCCTCCTTGAGAATCATCAAAACACGCAGTTCTGTAATGTATGTGAAGAATCGAACCGACAATCCTCTGGTTTGAGCTCGACACGGCCCAGTGGTTAAGGAGCGAACTTACTGGCCGCAAGGTCCGTGGTTCGAACCCGACCTGTGCATCTCGGCTGTTCCTGCCTAGGCTTGGATAACCTGACTATCGTATCTGTCGCACTTCCATCGGGTGGCGGAGAAGCTGTGAACCCACAAGGTGCTATCGCTGTAACCTTCGGTTTCTAGTCTAAGAGTACTCAGTGGATAACATTGATGATAAGTCATTCGTGGCAGAATGATCTTGAGGAATCAAATTCCTATAGGTTCGTGAGGTACACACTATTGATAGTTCCCAGCGAGGAGAAAATCTCTACACAGTGCTCAACGGCTTCTCAGGATAGACTGACTCCACTTGCATAATGATAAATTTGTTGCAAGTGTTCTTTTGGTTGTTTGCTGACAAGACAGGACGAGACGAGAGGTGTTTTCTCAATTCCTCATTGCCGCCATATTTTCAAATTAGACTCTTAACGGATTTGTGGAGAGAGATATAAAATTACCAACATGTATTCGAAGATGACCAACCTGGTATTCCGATGAGCACAGAGTCTCAGTCAAACTGGTTTATCTAACTAGAAAGTCCGTGCCGAATACGGAACCAAGGAGTATTTCTAACGAGAACTTCCGGATTGAACAATACGCTGGTACTCCTCAAGAGGCGCGAGACAGAACAACTCAAGCAAAATCCTGGGTAACTTAAAAGTAAGCCAAATTAACCGGAAATTTCATCATCGTCAAATACAGTAAAGTTTGCTGATCCGAACTGTTATATCTTCTGATTCGCCAATCTGTTGTATCCAGCTGTTGACCCACTCCAGTGCCTAGTGTCGAAAAACTCACTGAAAGGAACACAACAGCTATATTCCGTACAAGCGAGTGCAAGAGCGTGAGTGCGTGCGGGTGCGAAATTACAATGATCTCAAGCTATTTATTGGAGGGACACTTTCTGAACTTGGTCCAATGCTGACAAACGTGGTCTGGCTTTGGTACGAGGCTGTGGCGCGCTGTATATTGCGGGGGCTTTGTCTGACCTTGATCAACACTGACTCGTACCGTCTGGGTGAAGTGCTGCGCATATTGGGGGGGTTCGATTGGTCCCGTTGGTAGCGGACACTATTTGTAAGTGAAGTCGATCTACCCTGAAATGTAGAGTGGCATGTATAACTGTTCGCTCCTCCTTGAGAATCATCAAAACACGCAGTTCTGTAATGTATGTGAAGAATCGAACCGACAATCCTCTGGTTTGAGCTCGACACGGCCCAGTGGTTAAGGAGCGAACTTACTGGCCGCAAGGTCCGTGGTTCGAACCCGACCTGTGCATCTCGGCTGTTCCTGCCTAGGCTTGGATAACCTGACTATCGTATCTGTCGCACTTCCATCGGGTGGCGGAGAAGCTGTGAACCCACAAGGTGCTATCGCTGTAACCTTCGGTTTCTAGTCTAAGAGTACTCAGTGGATAACATTGATGATAAGTCATTCGTGGCAGAATGATCTTGAGGAATCAAATTCCTATAGGTTCGTGAGGTACACACTATTGATAGTTCCCAGCGAGGAGAAAATCTCTACACAGTGCTCAACGGCTTCTCAGGATAGACTGACTCCACTTGCATAATGATAAATTTGTTGCAAGTGTTCTTTTGGTTGTTTGCTGACAAGACAGGACGAGACGAGAGGTGTTTTCTCAATTCCTCATTGCCGCCATATTTTCAAATTAGACTCTTAACGGATTTGTGGAGAGAGATATAAAATTACCAACATGTATTCGAAGATGACCAACCTGGTATTCCGATGAGCACAGAGTCTCAGTCAAACTGGTTTATCTAACTAGAAAGTCCGTGCCGAATACGGAACCAAGGAGTATTTCTAACGAGAACTTCCGGATTGAACAATACGCTGGTACTCCTCAAGAGGCGCGAGACAGAACAACTCAAGCAAAATCCTGGGTAACTTAAAAGTAAGCCAAATTAACCGGAAATTTCATCATCGTCAAATACAGTAAAGTTTGCTGATCCGAACTGTTATATCTTCTGATTCGCCAATCTGTTGTATCCAGCTGTTGACCCACTCCAGTGCCTAGTGCCGAAAAACTCACTGAAAGGAACACAACAGCTATATTCCGTACAAGCGAGTGCAAGAGCGTGAGTGCGTGCGGGTGCGAAATTACAATGATCTCAAGCTATTTATTGGAGGGACACTTTCTGAACTTGGTCCAATGCTGACAAACGTGGTCTGGCTTTGGTACGAGGCTGTGGCGCGCTGTATATTGCGGGGGCTTTGTCTGACCTTGATCAACACTGACTCGTACCGTCTGGGTGAAGTGCTGCGCATATTGGGGGGGTGTCGCCTGTCTGGTCAGCATCTAGCAGAACTGAGAGCCTCAGTAGATTTAGGGTATTAAGTGGTTGCTTTCAGGAATCTGACCTTCCTGATAAGAACAATGAGAAAAAACAAACCTGACGAAATAAATCATTTGAATTTGGATCCCCAAGGAAAGTCGGTTTGTGCTGAAAAATAGCTGTTTTTTCGTCGGTGGTATCCATCAAGCTCTAGGGAGACTCGAACCAGTGACCTTCCCCTTAGTAGGTAAGAACTACGCAATCCATTCCCGAGTGCCTGATCAGTCACCAACGTAGAAAATGCACTTTTGCGTTCAAAACAGTGCGAAAATCTGTGATGCTAAACATATGTGATTGGGCGATATTTTTTGAATGCACGAAAATAACTTTCAGCTTAATCAACAGGGACAAACTGACGTTGATATTTCCCACCAAACGTGATTACAGCAGACTCCCTCAGGTTAGCTCAATGAACCCTGGTCACGCGGCTCCTTGCAGCCGATGATGCCGAATTCCGGGTTTCCAACCACAGATTATATATAGCTGTCAGATAGTTTGGTGTGTATTCAGCCATCCTTTGAAGGAGATGAAGTTCTGTTCGCGGCGCAACTACAAGTCGCCTGATTTCGTCCCCAAATCTAACAGAATGCTGACATTCATTCGGGTTCATTGAGTTACTTTGCACACCGAGCTTGGATATTCAGAAGCTCCGGTATTATTCTTCGTAGTAAACATTGGGGATAGTGGACCCACCTCCCATTCCAGCTAAATCGGGAAAAATGAATATAGTACTGAAAACAAACGACCAGAGTGTTACCACTGTGGATGCGTAGGTTGTATCGTTTGCGCTGTGGTCGTTGACTTCATGGTTTTTGTGAGCCACACATAAAGCAAACCTCAGGACGCTACACTTTGGTAACCATTGCGTAGAAGATCAAACTCGTGCCTTGTTCACGTAAGTTGCCACCAATACGTGGGACCATCATCAACTCGAAGGTTCTGCAGACAAGATCAGCCAAGGAGTTGGGAATCGTCTTGTGACTCGGGTGAATTATGAAATGTGTTTTGCACCACCAGCATCACTACTAGTAAAAGCAGGAGGGCCTTTACTGCTGAGCTATCGGAAAACACCAGCTGAACAGTTGCAGACTATTGGACAGGGATGCAAAACTCCCATATGCATCTTGTTTACAAAACCGAATATCCATCTTTTCCTTGAACGCGTCTTCCTAACTTCCCTGGATATTCATTGGCTGTTACTCAATTGCAAGCAAATGCGACTCCACGAATTCCGTGATTGATCTCACTTTTCAAGAGACGCGAAGCGAATTTACGAGAAAACATACTACTCGCATGCCCCCCATCAGTAGTATGAGCGTTGCACTAGTAATGACAGTGTAACGTCAGTGTTTAACACCGACACTCTGTTGCTGTGCATGGTCTGAGATACTACCAGGGCCCCCAGACCTAGACAGGGTGACGATTAGGCTCCTCGGCAATAGCCTTTAACTCAGCGGGCTGACTGCGAGCAACGATGCTTGACGGAAAATCCAAGTGAGCTACCGCTTTCTGAAGAACAACTTGCTACAGACGCTGCTACCCCAAAGTGGAAGACCAGGGGACTTTGTTCATCATACCTCTATCCATCGACCAATATGGCATGAGATATTATGTCAGTGTAGCACGAACGCCACCCAGTATAGCTCAATGGGTCACAAGCAGTCACACCACGATAAGGTTTAATTTCCACGTGATGGTTTATTTTGCAACTCGTGCGCGGTATAGAAATTCCTTTCCATTGATTTAACTGGTCATCGGATTCCGATAACTGTTCGATAGCCACAAAGTCTTTCTTTTCGTAGCGAAGACCATTTTATTTCACAAGGGTGTGGCCCACCGCTCATGAAATTGTCTATTCTAAATGGACTTCACAATTTGAACGTGTGAGATTCGATTATGTGATTCTAATAGTCACTTCTCAGTGTTGTACGCGAGAACCAGACACCAATTAATTCGATGTTATCATCGAGTTGACTGCACGTGCAGAATTCACGTGCATCCAACTCAAATGATGTTTGCTTTCGTCAAACTGTCAGTCGGTCAGCCAACGTCTTTGCCGTTAACCACCTGCCGGAATGCGTAGATCGTTTTTCATTCTACTGTGTTCCGAACTACCCCGATATCCGTCGTTTCTCACCCAAAATGGATTCATCGCGTCGTTCGATCTAAACGCGGTCTGATGCGCACGCATCCAATTCACAATACGTATACTGAAACGACAGTGCCCGCGTCTTTTCTACCGTGTTTTCATTTACATGACAACCATAAGAGTTACTCAAATCACGTCGCTTGATTTTAAAATAGGTTCAGTTGCACTAATTTGCTCCAGCTGAGTGATTATTTCACACAGGCCTTGTAGAGCCTCGAGGTCCAGAATCCAATTCTTCGGAGGGTTGCTGATGAGTTGATGATGAAGAGAACAGAACTGGAGTCCTGTGTTTCCCAAAGGTTGATTATGAATGCCCAGAATAATCATCGCGACTGTTAGGCCAGGAGTGTTGTACACACAAAATTCAGGAATTCTGTCTGTTTAATTTCGCCTTGACTAAGGGCTAACAAGAAAGTTATTCGGCACACTTGTTTGAAAACTGTGGGTTACACAGGCTACTCAGCGGCCCAAGACCGGTCACAACCTTCCTGAGGCTCATCGGGTAGGCGTAAACTTCGATTTTCCGTCATCCTTGTATTCTACTTGAACCTAAATTGTGCAAAAGTCGTGAAATACACATAGCTGCGAACCAATATGGTTTTCACGGAACTGCATTCCCGCTGATTTTCTTGTTTATGGTATTCTTCAACTGAATGTGCAGATGAGCGTATTGCGCGAATTTCGTACAGTTTAGGTTCAAGTAGAACATAAGCTTGACGAAAACTCTGAGACTGCAGTCACCTGATAAGCCCGAATGGGAAGGACAATATCGGTCATGGGCTGTCGAAGAGTTTTCAGCAACCTAATGAGTAGCATATCACGTTTGGAAAGCGTACTACGATGCCAGCTGAAACACGGGGTGGCCTTTGTGTATCACATTCAGCTGAAGAATCTCATAAACAAGATTTTCAGCTAGTATTTTGATTAGGTCCACAAGTAAACCAAACTGGTGTACGAATGAGTGTATTTCACACCAATTTACTCAACTTTTTCCAGGACGATTTAGTACTCGATCTACGAGAAGGTACGTTTACCACCAATGTGAGATTAAGTGTTCAACAAATTGAAGGCGGAAAACGGTGCGTAAATTCCGCTTTCTTGTCACAGGAAAACTAAAATCCCACTCATTACGAGATCACGTGTACGGCATAATCCTGAGTCTTTACGGTGCGTAAATTCCGCTTTCTTGTCACAGGAAAACTAAAATTCCACTCGATAGGGAATACTGGTGGAAGAAGAAGCACTTTCGAGGGTGGGGCTTATCGACAAACATGAATTAGACAACGAACTTCAAAGACTTCATCTGCACGGCCTTCAAAAAGCCACCCCTCTCAAGCGTCCTCCTCTTCTGAACATAGTTTGAATAGTTAACATTAATAGACGAGAGCTGTTAAACGGTTCGGTGGTTTCCAAATCAACTTTCGGTGAAATTCAAGGACGGGGTTTCAAGCTGCTTCGCCGAATACTACTCGCACGATCCATCAGTGGTACACGTCGTTACACTGGCATTTGACGGTGCCTCTACCGTCTGCCAAGTATCGTTTCCACGGACGAAGATAAAGAAAGAGGAAGTGTTAAAGTTCACCCGGCAAGTGAGGTCACCTCATCCTGAAAATACGAGGAATATACCAGATTCAACCTTGTGGGAATTACTGGTGCGCTTCACAAGAGCGTACGGTTCAGCTGCCATTACCTGACCAGCAAACTTAGACAGGTCTCACAGTTCATGTGACGAGTACATTGATAGTGGAAGACCCATACGACTGCAGGATCTGTTTCACCTACTGGGCAGCGTAACTGGCGACTTTGCTGAATACAGATAGCTTGGGTGCACCCCTTGGTTGTTAGTCTGTTCTCTGGGCTTAGGAACCAAGCCCCCACTGACGATGTCACCTCGATTAGTGATGGAGCGTTTGCAATCCACCTGCCGAGCTCGGCGAACAGACCAACAACCGGACCATTGAATATAACTAGATATCATGATAATTTCCCTATTCATTTGCTTACTCCGTTCATGTGTGCATGTGTGTGAACTTGTACAGGTGACCTACCTACCCACTTAAGTCCTTGCCCTGTTTGCTGAGCCTGTTGCGTCATGATTTCTCTGTGGTCGCACTGCCAATCGGAATCGCAAGATTGCCCTCAGATGCGACGACCGCAACCCACGCTCGGCTCGGACCTTGGCACTGCACTGCGTCGGTCAGTGACAAATTGGGGCACTTGTTGACGCCGTACACTTTTGTTATTCGGATCGTTAAACCTACACGCGACTCAGGGTTCCCTAGCGGGAACTCCAACGCTTGCTGTACAGTGTTTATCAGTCTTTTAACACTGCTTGGCTTCACTTGCAGTTCAGCGGACAGCTAAACGAGTCCGAAGCTACGGATTCTCCGTCCTGTCATGCTGAGCAGAAATCGACCTCTACTAATGAAAGGAAGAAGGCCTTCGCTGTGGAGTTCTTTATTAGAAAATGCTAAGTGAACAGTTACAGACTACAGGACAGGGAAGCAAAACTCCCATATGCATCTTGTTTACAGAATCGGAATATCCATCTTCTCCTTAAACGCGTCTTCGTAAACTTTTCTGGATATTCATTGACTGTTGCTCAAATGCAAGCAAATGCGGCTCCACAAATTCCGTAATAAACCTGACTTTTCAAGAGACGCCTAGCGGATTTACGAGAAAACATACTACTCGCATGCTCACATCAGTAGTATCCACCGTTACATTTGTATGTACACAGAAGCTGTCATTGGCAAGTGGTGCTGAAATGGTCGATCAAGATAGGATGAATACGACATTCCAATCAGGGGATAAGTTGATTTCCACTTGTTTCCCGGCCATAACTTCAGGATGGAGAGAACATCTATCGGGGTAGCTTTCACACGCCGTCCCAAGCAAGAAAAAAAGGAACTTAGATCATTGGAACACGACACTCCACTGAAAAATCCATTAGCGGACATTGGAATCGGGCCAGCCTATCGACCAATAGGGACAAGAGATCCCAAAATATATTTTAAGAAATCCAACTAAAATACCATTCCATCTGACAAGAATGCACATCCAGCTAACACACTGGAGATCCACAGTGGACACAGAAAACAGAGCGGCCAAGCAAAGGAATGTCTACAATTAACAATCAAGCGTAGGGGGATCGCGCAATGAAGGAAGAAAGACCAGAGGTGAATGGAGGCAACAAGCTAAAATCAAGAACTTCAAACAGCGATGCAACATAATTTGAGGACGCAAAAATGAAGAAAACGCCCAAAGCAGCTCTGAGTCTGGTAGGTGACTGGCGTTAACGAAGGTGAACCACAACGCAGCACAGGCTGAATACTGACCAAACAGCACAGGAGCTTAAACCCTGCAAAAGATATTATTCAATGGCCCAGTCGCAGACGAAGAGACGGACCACAACGTAACAAAGGTCACCAAAGTATCAACAACAGTAAGATAAAGCACATTTTTGAGAAAGATGTAAACACGAGCAGTTGAGGAGAAACTTCCCATCCAATCGCCTAGGAATGAGGTTTTGCAAACTACTTTCCAGGCTCAACAGCTGTTTCGTGCTCAGCAGCCGCAAAAAACCATGAGAGCGACCTGTAGCTAGATGTGTTGTAATTTAGAAAAAACCACTTCGTGACGTCAGTGGCATCCTGAACCTAGAACTGACTGGCCAGCTGTCTGAAGCTTTTTACAAGTCGTTATTACGAAGTTCTCGTTTATGTAGATAAAGCAGTTGTCTGTATTCCTCCGAACAGAAAAGAGTCATCTCCTGGACTGTCCATGTTATATGGCGGATCAGCTCCAACCGAGTATGCAGAAATTTCTCAGAAGGGCCTGTGAAACTCACCTCTTAATAACAGTATGTCTCCAGAGTGTTTCCGTTTGATCGCCCTGGATGTACATCGATTTAGTCTCATTGTTAAACAAAGGTGACCGAAACCAAGCAAGCAGGCTGCGTAGGTGTGAAAAACCATGAGAAACGAACAGTCACCGTTGTTTAGGCTTAAACTGAACAAGATGACAAGAACGAGACACTTGTGTTTGATACAAACTAATCAAATTGGGTGCGCCGTGTAGCACTAAAATGTACTACCGTGCATATGATACAGTGTGCTACATCACACTGTACTGCTCTCTTCACTATACCAGACCAACCCATAATGTCACTATGGTGTGTGCTACTATGCTCTACCACTATGCTATTCTATGCCATACCAAACCACGCCACACCGTACCACACCACATTATACTATACTATACTATGCTATCCTATACTATGCTATGCTGCGCTATGCTATACTATACTACACCAGCCTATGCTATACTATACTGTACTATACTATACTATACTATGCCAAACTATACTATACTATACTATACTGTACTATACTATACTATACTATACTATACTATACTATACTATACTATACTATACTATACTATACTATACTATACTATACCAAACTATAATATACTATACTGGGCTATGATACGCTATACTATACTGTCTTCACTGTACTGTGCTATCCTACAGTGATATATATATATATCATATTATATATATATATATTATATTACATTATTACCATGTTAAGGTGAACTTCAGTTTGGTGTAATGTGTTGCAACGTGATACAGTATATTTTGCTTCATTATGCTACATAAGGCTACTAAATACTATAATGTGCTATACTCTACTGTGCCATGTTTGGTGTTAGTAAAAACGCTGCTTGCAGCTTACCTGATGAAAAGGGTTCAGTGGCACAAATTTTATTGAGTTTCCTAAATGCACTTGTACGTAGATAGGCCTTTTTGGACATCTGTGCTCCCAAGGTGTTCGACGGCTTCAGGTTCGTTCTTACAAGCTGTCATAGATAGCTGTGATGGACCACGGTACCAATATGGAGGCTGATTCTGCTAACTATGTCAGCTAGACAACTGGTGGGACTTTTTGTGTCTCAAGATTACTCTACAGGCGCGTTATAATGGTCCTTTGCTCATCTATTTGTCAGAGTTCAGAGGACTGCTTCGAACGACCAGGTGGCTCTCACTAGCCCAGATAAAGCTACCGGTCGTCTAGGAACTTGGTTGTTGCCCACCTTGACGACACTAAAGATAGCAAATGAGTGTGCTGGGTACCAGTAAAACGTCCCAACCAATCACGCTCGCAAACAAACGGACACTCAGTGTACCTGTGCCAGATTGAACGTGAAGCTTCCATAGCTGTACTTTGGAAGTGGGCCACTCGCAAAACCACACCCTAGAGAGCACTTACGCCACCTAAAATATGGTCACTCTACGGACGACGTGAGTGAGCAGCCTGGCTCAGAACCAATGACTTTCCAGTCTATAACAATCTGGTTGTAGAGCGACTCACTGCAGTCTTCCTGCTAGGATTAAACATCCTGTTTATGCGATTAGTAGTCCATCAATTTTGCGCAATATATGTCGTTGCTCACTCTATTCTGATTCACCTCTCCGTTGGTGTCCACTTTACTTCCGGTTGAAAGTATGATCTCTGTTTCTTATTCTTTGAACAGCCCGGCAGAGCCGCGTACATCCTACTTCTCATGGCTGGCTACTGGTTGACGGAGGTCATCCCGATCTATGTGACCGCACTGTTCCCCGTCTTTTTGGCCCCAGTTCTTGGACTGATCCCATCATCCAAAATATGTCCTGCATACATGAAGGTTAGTCATCTTGATCCCTTCACCAACGTTGTGTGGGTCACAAAGACCCACACTGATTAAGTCGATTGAATGAGTGTTCATGTGAACAACGTTTCGATAGACTAACAGAAAGCTAAGAGACCAAGTCAGAAAGTTCCCAAGAATAATTAAGTCAACTTGGCATGAACTATCTTTACCTACAATCATTTGTTCTGACCGACATGGGATTATATCCATAAAAGTGAGGTTCTGATCAACGGTCTGCCGAGAAAAGCCTCTTTACGGTGGTCAGTGTTGGGAACGGAGGAGACATTCACTGCTGAAGGTGGACACCATGGAGACTCGGTGGTTCTTCTTGAAACGAATCTATTCCACTAGACAATCAGTGTTCATTCGCAACCAGAAGTTGAGAGGACCGACGAAAAGCAGTCAATTTGTGGAGGTTTTTTCGGTAAACTTTCTCATCAGCTGATTTCAATTTTAAAGCTAACTCTGTGGCTAACTGCATGTATGTTGTTTTTCTCCGAGTCGAATTCATTTAGGGTTTGCATTGTAAATTGAACATCAAGTCAAAAGTTGGAATAAACACGCTCACAACAATAGGTGCGCACATTGGGAGATGCAACCTATAGAGGAGAGCCATTGTTTACCTGCAAACAGCCTTTATGGCGAGATGGCTCAAGTAATTAGAGCGGAAGGTCCGTGGTTCGAACACGACCTCTGCCTCTTGACTTCTCCTGTCTAGGCTTGGTCAGCCTGGCAGTATCCCAGCCTTCGTGCTTCCTTTGCGTAGCATGACGGTTAGGCACTGAAAGGGTGTTACAGCTAAACGATTATTTTTTTCGATTTGGTCGTACTGGGGAATACCACCAACTGACCAAATTCTCAACCCCTTGCGTTTTCACATGTCACATTCTCCACCAAAAATCGCAGCATTTCGAGCCACGAAACCAATACGATTTGGAGTAAACTCTTGCAAACAGTATTATTAACAGTAAAAACCATCCATTCAGCTGCGAGAACGACCTTGGGTCAAGTAGACGCTCTATGCATTTCGAGCCACGAAACCAATACGATTCGAAGTAAACTCTTGCGAACAGTATTATTAACAGTGAAAACTATCCATTCAGCTGTGAGAACGACCTTGGGTCAATTAGACGCTCTACTGAATACGGTTTCATCTTACTGCAAAGTTACTCCGTCCAGGGTGTAACACAGAAGTGCGGACGACGAGGTTACATTATTGTGGGGCGATTCACGTGTACAAACAGGCGAACTGATTCAGCAAAGGTTGCGCGCACTTGTAAAACCTCACATTTAAAGCCTAAAGGATTACTATGCACAACTCAGTAAACAACTGATCATGAATGGCGTCCTAACAAACGAGGGCCTACCAGAAGCAACATTCGAGAGCAGTCTAGATTGCCTGACTTCGATCAATAATGGAACTTCGGGAAAAACTTACAGGCACACATGCTAGGCTTGCATTATCAAGGAACAGAAGCGCCACAGTCGACAATGCTCGGGAGCACAGTTCACTTTGAAGCACAGACCAACAGCTTGGGTTACCTGGGTTAGAAAAATCGATCGAATGACAACAGCCTTACAAAAAGGGCAAACTGCTATCGTTGGTTCCAGGCAAATCGGTTTAGTTTGAGGGAAGCACCGCAAGCGAGCATCCATAGCCCGAGGCAGGAATCAAATAAAACGAGAACCATACCACTAAAATGCACCATGACATTCTCTCGTGCTTCACAGGTTATTTGGAAGCAGTCGAGCAAATACCGATACATCGCAATCGTTGCTCGAGTCAACAGGTGTGACCGCGTGATGTGGATCCCGTGGTTGAAGGATGAGCGGCGACATATGCTGTCTAAGTGCGAGTCAATCAGACTGCTGATCAATCACTCATGGTTGAATGGTTGAGTGTTGAAACTACTAGCCAGAAATCACGGATTCGATACTCTCCGGAGCTTCATGAGATATGCACTGCTGATGATTCCCAGTAAGGATGAAACGGCTGTACAGTGCCTCGAGGCTTTTCAGTACAGACTGACCTTACTTACAGGACGAAATCTCCACAAAACCATCGCGATCCAATGTTTCGGTGAGCTGCAAGGCTCGCAGCTACGTCAGATGAACAACTGGAATACGTCGAAATAGGAGTGCGAACTCTCTATAACTTCCGCTCATATCGAAATTTATTTTTGGTCAGTCACAGTAAACAAGTGATCTGCAATTCAGTCTCACTAACAAAATGCTTGACTTGATTTGGTGAGGAGGTGAGCAGAGCACGTTAAGATTACACCCCGTCCAATTTGGTAAGTTCATGGCAGGCTTTCACTAAAGTCACCCGTGCAAGGCCAAACTTCGTTCGGACCCAAGTACGAATGTTCACTCCCTTCACTTGCTGTGGTTTAGGAGCACTGTGCACATTTTCACTATGTCACACTGGCCACGTTTCGTCTTACCGAATATTTGCATTTTCGTGAACCAGCCGACATCAGAACTTTTTCGCTGCAGTCACTCGGTAGCAGAAGTCATCCCCCAAAAAACGAATGATTGTCTCGTGAATGTTGTGACTACCAAAAAAGGCAACCGGTTTGACCATTTGGTTGTTCTTACGAATTCCACAGTTCAGATCCACTCCAAACAGTACTTAACAATAGTTGACTTCCAAATCTGGCCCAAGTGCGTCACGTGATTTCAAGATTAGCATGAACCTGCCATTTTAACAGGACAGCTCAAAATGGCAGAGAATCAACTGGCCAGATGAGAATAGACGAGGACACGAATTCAACATCAATTTTCTAGCATTAGGTGGACAACTAGTATGCAGACTTTGTGCCTATTGATTTTTAAGTGCCGTGTTAGACCCAAACCAAATTTTGAGACGTTGTCACGAAACTACCGTTCAATTCATCCAGAGATGTGCTTAAATCTCGAAAGTATCTAACTGCCTGGTCTGACTATGTTGGCTGACGTAAGTGCTACTTCCATGTGAATCGTTCTCTATGAGAAGTGCCACTCACCTAAATTGTTTCCGAGTGTTGATTAAATTAGTGTTTCGGATAAACGAAGGTCACAATCGTATGAAGCTAAGAAAGCTACATTAGTTCGTCAAGGTCAAGGTCTACGATGGTTTCTGATTGGTTGCTGCTATCCGATAGTGACCATGGTCAAACAGATACTGCCATGTAGCGACGTGCCTTCTCCCTGAGTTGACAAGGTGGATAAAGAAAACTCAATATTCCATGTTCCCATCAAGGAGACCGTGTCACATGACCGGTTTTCTCCGTCAATTTGCAGCTGCTTCTGAGAGTGCCGATTAGTCCATCTCCGATGACAGCGCTATTCCGACAGTGGGATGCACTCAAATTCTTCTGAGTCTGAACTCATAAGAGTGATAATTGCACATCAGTGTCTGTAGAGAACGGGGCTGGACCAATTGGAAGCATGTCTTACCTCCGTCAAACTGCCCGAATAGCGGGCGTGTGAATTTATCTCTACTGGCATCATTCTGCCCAACGGTTGTTGGTTTTTGTTACTTGTTTTTGTTCGGGAAGTCTCACAGTCACCACCTCATAAGAAACCAGCTGCACTCTAGCACCGGATTCCGGAATAGGAATAGCTGTCTGACTGTTTAATTCAGCCCATATCGAATGATGAATGATACCTAGGGAGAAGCTGTCGGAAGAGTCACTATCTATTTCTCTAATGTCAACATGTTCCTTACCTTCGTTGAATCCAAAACACACCCACACTAACCAACACACGTGAACCGATCTGGCTGGCGCGAGACCCCAAGAAGGCCGCTGTCTGACAACTGACTGGATAGCAGACTCTGGAGATCGTACAGGTATGATGATCATGATGACCAAGGACATATGGATTGGCCAATCGGAAGACAAAAGCAAACTCATGTTTGATTGGTGGGTTCAAGCTGGTTGATAGGCCTTAGCAAAGTCACCGGACCTTACCCTCAGTAGTGTGGCCATGCAGATGAACCAAACTCAGATTGTTTGACCTGAACTTGTCATGTGTTAGCCAACTCAATGCGTCCTGAAAATACCACAGCCAAACAGTAGATGCTGATATTGAGAGTTTGTCATATTGGTGGTAGCACTCTGGTCTAAACAGTGGGCATACACACTCAGAAGAGACAATCTCTCAGATAATGAAAGAGCCCTATTAAGAGGTCTTTGCTTGCTGAGCCATCAACCCCCGAAGTAGAGTCGATCTAGACGTTACTATCCCATACTGTCCAACTGTAGTCCAGGGATTGGTGGTTTCCTTTGTGCTGAATTCATTATGTGCTCGGATCAGAAAAGCGTAAGATGAACAGTTACCGCGGAAAAATAGTTCCACATGTTCACTTATTGAGTTTTTGTTCGCTGAAGCTCCAAAGTGAAATTCGTGCATCGAAAATTTAAAAAACCAAAATTTGGTCCAATCGATACGAATAGGTTAATGCAGACATTGAATACGACAAATCTTGGCTCATAAGTACATATGCGTGCATGTGTGTGTAGCCCAGTCGTTATTCTGCCCGTGGTGCACAGCATGTGTATTCCAGTTCTAGACATAAAAGTATGACGTTTGCGGTCGATTGGCTGGCTCCATGTTTTTTCTGATACGCAGTGGACTGAACGAGTAGCAATTTGGTTTTCAAGCCGTTCGAATAACGTCTTCCGGCTTCTGCTCTCATTTGTGTGTATGCGAGTCTTAGTTTTTTGGTGCACCTGTGGTAAAGACGCGAAAGGAATGTGGATGGAACACGTTGCCGGTGCGGGTCCATAGCCCCACCCCCAAACCAAAGTATCAAAAAGCATGAACGTAACAAAATCGGTAGTAGGTTCACGGTATCGTTATGGGATTGAATAGGACCATGTAAAAAACATCGGTAGGGCAGAAATATATATATGGACTAATGCCCATGTTTGTGTCAGTGACCATCCATCAGTATTTAGTTAGCTGAATGCTTTAAACACCAGATCAGTTGATCTTCTACAAGCTGGCTGAAAGAACCCACTGAGAACATCGACACCAGCCTCCCGCCGTCAACAACACAAATCCAGCGTGAGATATCAATCTTCCCAGAAGACACAAATCCAGCGTGAGATATCAATCTTCCAACACAGAAGACACCTGACACGCGTGGTCTTCACCCCGCATTCTTTATAGAAGGTGATGGGGTTCTGGTGAACAATCTGATGACCATACTTGGAATCAAAGCAGAATACTAGTGGAATGCCCTTTCAGTTTACAAAAAGAGCACAATAAAGTCATTCAACAGTGATCGTGGCATCACCCACTTATCCGTCGCATCTAAGTTGCTCTCTGGCATTTTGCTCAGGTTGGTTGATTATAGGGAGAGACAGATTCGTGGGAATCAATCTGGGTTCCACCCTGGCCAAGAATGCATCGACCATGACTTTACCTTAAGATAAGTTCCTAAAAAGCGCCACGGTTCCAAACGCCCCCACATTGATCATTTTTCTCGACCGGAAAGCTGATTGGATTCTGTCGATAGTCAGAATGTTTGGCAGTGTCTGGCGATCGAAGGTGTCCCTTCCAAATTTATATCCTTTATGAGGGCACCGAAGGCGAACACCTTTGTGCGCGTACGAGTATGCGGCAAACTTCCGCCTGAGTTCACCACGTCCAGTGGTGTATGACAAGGCTGCCCTCTCGGGCCTCTCTTCTTTGATATGCCACTTGAAATTTCTCTGCCTGCCTCTGAAACCTCGGGGTCGAAATGCTCCCGGGACGTTCGTTCACAGACCCTGGGTATACAGACTATATTGCTCTTTGTTCAGATCCTTCAGGACTACAAACAGCACGGTTCGGCAAGAGCTTCACACCTACCTTCACACCAAAACCCAAACCTAATGCGTGAAGACGGGTCAATCGACGTGTTAGATGAATTTGTTTGCCTGAGTAGTTCTACAAATTCCGGCGGGCTCGGTGGAGATGAGATTTCTTCTCGAATCAGGAAAACCAGGAAAGCTTTTGGCGACCTTTCCCACCTATGGCTCCTAGTGACGACAGTTTGTCTGTCAAGGACAGAGCTTACACTGCAGCAATGCGATCAATACTGCTTTATGGATCATAGACGTGGTCCCTACGCGCAGAGGACATACGAAAGATATCAGTGTTTGACCATCGGTGTCTGCGAAACGTTGGTTGAGTAATTCTGAGGTACGCCAGACCGTCGTAGGTAGAAAGAACTCCCCCGCGAGAGATGACTTGATAGGTTATGCCGGTTACGACATGTGCTCTGCATGCCCAAAGACTACCTGCCTCGTGGAGCCCACTTCTCCCAACCCTGTGCTAAGTGGAAGTGCTCAAGAGGTGTATGACTTGGCAACGAAGTAAGCAAACAGTAAACGGAGTCTCGTTGCCAACTGAGGACCCCAGGACCCAACTCATCATCAATGGTTACTGGCACTGGCAGAAATGGCCCAGTAGCACAGTCTGAGGTGCTCTTGCATCAAAGCTATCGCCTTCAATACGTAGACAGTTAGTTCCAAAACTTCCAGAACATAGGCTCAATTCCAACGCTTGCATGTACGTTCCAAACTCCCCCACTCTTCGATGATCGAACCTGTAGCAGCGGAAACCATGGTACAGGGTTTATAAGTGATAAATTGTTTGAATTGAATTTAACCCGCATGCAACCGGGTAGTCCGACGGTTGGTATAGCGGACTTCCGTTTCGGTGACCCGGTTTAGAATCACTGTGTGGCCGTTCTGAAACTGGATGCCGGTCACTTTTGAAATTGATTGCAAATTTTGGTTCGTCAGTATAGACGTAAGAGAAATTCTTTGTTGTTGTTTGATTTTGACTGTACAAAAAACCTTACCGTAACCTTAACCAAGACGGATAAATCCGCACGTGCATCTTGAGTGATTTTGTAATCGTGTTATATTATTGATCAGTAAGTTTCAACGATCTCGTTCTTGGGTCAGATGTATTGGTGCACCGAGCAGAGCTTCTCCCCTCGTAATGAGTTTTCTTAACGGAAAGACACCGGTAGTTCATGTGTTTCTTCAAAAGTTAGCCTACCACAGTGACAACAAGGATATCTCATGCCATCTGATTGGCTGCAATACCGACATTAATCTTAGCGGCAGTTATTACAAAAGTTAGATCTCCTGAATCATGTCAGTGAACGGCTTCGGAATAAAGCAGAAAAAGTTCGGGATGCGGAACATCTGAGTGGTCGTACAGCAACGAGCGAATCCGAAATGAAGGTGTGGTCGTACCAGTTTACCAAGGGGCAGGATTCCTCAGGTCACAAAGAAAGTCAGCAGCAGCATATGAGGCCAATCTACGCAGGCGCCTGGTGGATTAAACTTAGAAGGCTGCGTTTTACCCAAGGTGCCAGATAATGTTGTTTAAGAGAGTGGGTGATAAAATGGTCACAGGAATCGAACCGTGATCTGTTTGGCACAGCCTTCCTGTAGTTGTTTGTACACCACAGAACCCAACTTGAAGACTCCCTTGCTTATGTCCAACACGTGGACGCGTATTAACTGATATTGTTTGTGCTTCATACTGTCAGTCCATAAGTAGCATCGATCGATTTCTTCAAAATCTGGGTGCTTACCATGTGCTTAGTAATCAGAGCGTTCCGTCTTCTAGAACGGAAAAAGTATGCCCCGTATTCCATTGGTTGGTTGGTTGGATGGTTGTTTTGGGGCATTTCAGGTCCGTTTTTTACCGGTCCGTTCCTCGGTTTTGTTGCGCATTGGCCTGTCCTGGGTGTGATTGGGTGTGATTTCGAAAATTCAACAAGTCACCCACGCAGCGACCGACGGTCAACATTTATCACCGCCGGTGCTTACTTGCGGAATATCCTTTGGGTCGTCCAGCTGTCTTCACATCTGATTACCGATGAAACTGACTTCATGCAAAAGGAATCTAACGGAATTGAAAGTGCCTGCACACGCTTATAACGCGAATCACGCCATATTCTGTCACCGGTTCTGGTTGGTGCTAGGCTAGCTATCAGTATCCCACAGAAAAGAGACAGGCAGTCACACAGATGCATTAATTCGGGTGGTTTCGCTCCATTCATACAGGCTGTGTGGGCTCAAATCATCAGTGTCTGATAATCCAGTTGAACTAATTGCGATGATTGGCTCGGTTGGCATGACAAACGCTATCCCAGACAAGGTACGTAGCACATATTGGATCAGAGAGTGGCAAAAACTGAAGACAGGCGTTTGTGATACTGTTCGCTGAGTTATGTGTGAACCCGATCGACTTGGGAGTCACCAGGGGACCTCAAAAAACTAGGTAAATTAGGGACAAAGACAAGATGGCACTGGATTAGTTGTGTTGGATGTCACCAAAAGTTGGAGAAGCTATCGAAAGTGTGGAATGTGGGATAGTCAGGAAGAGCTAGTGAAGTCGAAACATTCTGAGTGGGTAGGCACCACTCAGATTTTTGTTTCTCTCCATTTAAATTCGTCAGGCATAAATTCTTATTTAATGTAGAGTTGTTCGGGTGGCAAACTCCTGCTTTTCGTGCTTTGTTCCGCACATTTATGGAAAAAAACACATCGTTCGTCTTCGACTTTCTTCTGAGTGGGTAAGCACAACTCAGATTTTTGTTTCTCTCCATTTAAATTCGTCAGGCATAAATCCTTATTTAATGTAGAGCTGTTCGGGTGGCAAACTCCTGCTTTTCGTGCTTTGTTCCGCACATTTATGGAAAAAACACATCGTTCGTCGTTCGACTTTTCTGAAAAACAGATACAAACCTACAGAAAGATTTCGCATGTGTCAAACAAAGCTCAATGTTAAGTGGTGCACACCCATACTGTTGGATGTTCTAACAGATGACAAAGGACAGCTGAACTGAGAATGCACTCTTTCGTTTCACCAAGTTGACATGGCCACAAGCGGGTTCCGGCGGGTTTTACAAACAGTACCAAGCCCATCATGAATCGCCACTACCTAGTATTCAGCATAATTCAACGAAATGATTCTTCTCAACTTGTTTACAAGCAACGAGGTGAGTGTTATTCCATTTTGCTCTAAACATCTTGCAGTCATTTCTGCGACGCCACTCTGCGACAAAACGCATTACCACGCAGTGCATGCCACAGGCCACCACTGAAAGGCCCTGAGTTGTGGAGGCTCACCAGACAGAATGGTAGGTGTGTGTTCAGACTGATGACTACGGACGCTCACAACGAACTAAGAAAGGGAAACATGAATGAGAACAGTGGGGCTTCAACTTGTAGAACAACTCAGTACAGCTATAGAGTGTAGGTGCAACGTACGATTGAGAAGAAACCAGCCAAAGGAATAAGCGCAAATTCTGTCAAAATAGCTTGGTTCAGCAACAGCAACGCATGAATCAGGAACCTCCCCAGAAGACAACTCATGGAAGCGGAAGAAAACGTACCCTTTGGAGGGTGCTGGCAATCCAAAATATTTGGTCAGTCTTGAAGCGGCCTTTAAATCGAGTAATCTCACTGGAGACATGCATCAGACAATAAGCTAAATCATGTGAAGCAAAACATATTGGTCATTTTTATTGAAAAAAAGAAGCAATAAGCATCGTCAAACCATCATTATTTTTGCTAGCGGAATTCACCGACGATGTACCCAGTGATACAACACTGCACCGCCGTCTTCAGAGCGACCGAACCGCGAAACTCACAAACAAAATAAATAGGATCTTGAAGAACCCGATGGATCTTCACAAAACCAAAGAGGAAGAGTGTTGGTGACTGAAAGTCGGTGACTCTAAAGCTCCCGACTCTACCATCTTCAAAAGGGAACGGTATCATTATATCCCGTCGTTGTTTCAAAACCAGGAGCCCTCTCATAAAACATCAAGCGAACTATGGAGGCGAGTGAATCGTCGCACCAGCAGGCCTCATTATTCAATCGACAACGCAGGACAATTTCAGGAGGAACCAAGGAACTTGAAAATAGAATATGAACTATCGGTGTCCGACAACGTAACCTCACTATTCACATCGAGGTACCTAAATGCGGCAAGAATGACAGTTGCTGAACTTCTGGACCATAAACGGGACGTTTGGAAAAGCAAAAATCTGTGACTGACAACGCACATCGAGTTCAATATAGAACCACTCAATTGAGCACCAACAGGATCATCAATCTCGGGATTCCTTAGCGAAATTATAATGCAGAAACTGCACTAGCATACACCACACACTGAGATTGTGGGCACAGCATATGGACGACAAAATTGCCAATGTAAAGGAAGACAAACTTTCATGGGAGAGAATCAAATGCTGAAAAACGTGTTTCCCGACATTCAAATCACAATGGAAACGGAAGAGATGTTCTCACATGTGTTCGTCATGGAGACAACAGACAGGCAAAGTATACTGTCATAAATGAAGATGTGCTTTAACCATATACAAGCGAATTGGGACGCACTTCAACAAAACAGAGTTGAAGACGGCGGCCCAATAGGCAATCCAAAATACTGGCAGCTTCATCCTGGAGATGCTTAAGAAATCAACGTTGGGCTACTTTGTCAACACAAGGAGAACGAGCCTGGCTTTCATACACAAAAGATGTCGTTAAAACGACTGCAGGATATTTCCGGCAACATGGAATAACGACCAACTTCAAGACCCGTTCGAAATCAAAGGGAAGGTTGGATGCAATGAAAGAGGCAAACATGGACTACGAACTTCAGTGTGATAACTGTGACCAGGGTGAAAGAAAACTTGTCTGCAGAAGATACTACACGATATCACTTGTTTCAGCTCACGAAGAGGGAGAAGCACATCATTTCAGATAAGGCGATGTTCAAAAACTTGCCCACGCAATAACACAACAGGAATGCGAGTTTACTGAGGTGTGGACTGCAAACGAAAATCGATCAATAAGCATATCGATATTTACCCGAAGAAGTACACAGTTGCGGGACTGTGAAACAAATGAAAAATCAAATAACTTAACGGCAACCAACTGATCAATCGGACCAAATAAAGAAAGCTACTAGAAATAGGTCAGTGGAACAAAATTAGATCAAAAAGCAAGAAGGAAACAGTCCAATCACAAGCGCGGAACAGATATGTCGAATGGACAGCGTCCAGAGAACCAATCAGATTCAATGAAGTGAGATCACAACACAACCAAGATTTCAGGTTGACCAACAAAATTACGCAAAAACCGCCGCGGAAGCAATAATCACTCTAGATTAATTGGTTACTCTGTGAAATTTAGGTCAGCAACGCAAAAAAGGAGGAATTTATGCACTCAACCCCTCACTGGCGATGTCATCTCGGTTGGTGGTAATGAGTTTGCAGTGCAGCTGCTAAGCTCGGAAAACAGATCAACAACCAATAAGCGCACCCAAGCTACTCATATTTCAGAACATCATCATATGAACAAAGTATTTCACCGNATATATCAGCCAAGAATGTTCGATTAAACATCCGGCTATTCCACCGCAATCGTGTCTTTGCACTTTCTCCTCGGGGATATTTAAAACAGTACAAGGAAGCCCACTTGTGCTAGTCAAATAACTTGAACGAGTTTGAGAAGAGACCCTGGAGAAATCGATGGTGAGTTGTTTTTATTTGCAGGCAATCTTATAGCCTTCTGATTGATGTACATCAAGAAGCTTTCGTAGATTGTGCGCCTATTATTGGTGAAATTGCTCTTTTTCAGGATGTGATTTCGTGGGGGGGAGAGTGAACACATCTGTTACAACTGGCAGTATAAGTACTGGAATGATGTGCAAACCCGTTTTTGTTTTAATCACACTCCCTATACATTACCCCAATTTCCACTCGATGGTCGAGTACACCAGACGGATCGGCGTACCTTGTTCCCTCGATACCCTTTCAGGAGTTCCTACAAATTCAGTGTCATACGAGTTTCATCTAGGTCTACGAAAGCGTCGATTTTATCTGGTACCACCCATAGACTTCTCAGTTTTTTACCAGCACTCTACGCGATACACTAGTGAGACTTTACCAGCACTCTACGCGATACACTGAGTGAGACTTCATCATCTTCATCATCATCATCATCGATAAGATGGCATCAGTGTTCAATACCGATGCTTCACTGCTGTACAACATGATCAATTTGAAGGCGTTACTGCGAAGAGAAGAATAAAGGTACATGGGGGAAAGGACTTGGAGCTAGCTTACTACAATCATTCCGAGTTGTCTACATCTTCAGGCACTCATTGAGTCAATGTGGACAGAAACTGACAAGATCGCCACTGATATCAGTTGGTAGCCACACCTTGCAGTGTCTACGACCAGGCGCACTGAGGATACCTCAGTCCCATCCTGGAAGTGGAGTAGCACCGACATCACCCAAACATTTCGTAATCTCCTTCTCAAGTTTGCATTTTTGGCTATTGTGCGATTCAAAGTACGTCCGGTGCTGCTCGGCCGATTTCCAACAGGCCATCACACAGCAATCACTTTCAGTCTTTGGCCAGGCTAGTTCATTGACTCGTGTGAATAGAAGGCGTTGGTCACCGGGCTTGGCCACTATTCTGTCAGTCGTCCGCATTCTACCCCGTCCAAAAAAACAGCACCGCTTCTGGAGCTTGCTGTGATCTAGACAGATCTCAGTAAATAGAATTTTGTCAGGCCGAAAACAGGAAAACAATCGACGCCGTTCGTCGAAAGGACCATAGACCAACATGGTCTGTGGGATGAATCAGCTGAAACTTGTGGAATCAACCCTTGTGAGGACAGCTCTGAACACGAAGGAGTATGATGTGGCAGAGGTCAACGGCGAAATCAGTCATCAACACCGTATGACCATCGTATGATTCCAGTACACACCGAACAGAGCAGACAACGATGTCATTGACGTTACACGACAAATTTGAATGCAACGCCATTTACAGGTGGGCAATAGTGCGCGTTCATTCTGTTCACCTAGGTTGGATGCACGAGCGTGCAAAACGCTGTCCCTACTGCAATGTAAGTATTCCCACCTAGACGCGATCTCCTTGAAATGCATCACGGTCATGCATCCACAGTCCCAAGCAAGGCGTTCTAAGTATGTCCGAAGTCCATATGGTCGATCATCGGTCTAACAAACGTGACCTGTTGGTCATTATCACTTGAATAAGTATGTACCCAACTGTGCAAGCCGGTTACTCCTCACAGTGTGATATTTTCTCAGATGCAAAGCACGAACCCAGACTAAGCATGGTTTTTGTCGGAACCTACATGGGTTGTTGCAGCAAATTGAAGGATGGCTTGAAATATGCATCTTACTGAATCTCACGCAGTTCAAATCTCAGTAGTCTGTATTCTTCGCCATTTATCCTACTGGAATTTTTTTTTTGAAAAAAAAAAACGATATCGCTGTTCTCATTGCAATTTGTATCCAAAGGACACTGTGATGTTGTTCGTCGGAGGGCTTTTCGTCGCCTGCACTATTGAGCACCGTAATCTGCATCGGCGTATCGCCCTATCGGTTCTCAAGGTCGTGGGCAGTGATCCCAAAATGTGAGTACCACGTATATTCGAGATGATGCTTGAGTGTGTCCCAGTTACTGTGTACTGACCACTGTTGTTCCTCATTCGTTTTTTTCCCTAGGCTAATGCTTGGGGTCATGCTACCCACGTGGTTTCTGTCAATGTGGATGAGCAACACGGCCACGACGGCCATGATGATCACCATCGTGGAAGCCGTGATCATCAGTATGGATGCTATAGAGGTTGGTGAGTGACGCTCATGTCAATCTCTTTTTACGTGCTGACTTTTTCGACCGGCCGGGCAACTGTGTACTCACCACATCCTACGGGACCCTCGTTATGTAATTGTGATCTGTGTGGCCAAGAAAAATTTGGCAATTTCAAAATAGGAGTCCCCCATTGACTGACTAGGTCATGCCTTCTGTGTGACAGGGTATGTTTAATTACTTGGTGAATTACGCAACGTTAAATCGATGTCCAGTTCCCAGATTAATCTCATCGGAGTGTCGACAGATTAACTGATGGGTTTGTTATGCTTTCACCCACAGACATGCTGCAGGTGAGCAGTTTGTGGCAGAACTGAAACACACCTCGCCAAAGTCTAGTGAAGATAATCTCCCAACATGTACCCGTTATCTGGACGATACATACACTGTATTGAACTGTGGTCAACAAAATGCTCAAATGCGTTCACTTTTACCCATGCAGCTGTCTGATTCACATCAGAGCAGGAAAACGGGAACACTTTTCATTAATCAGGCCAGTAAACAATCTATCGCAAAGTCACATTTTCATACACCTGTCCATCACAAACGGACCTCATACGAACTTTGATTCACCGAGGTCAGAAAATGTGTAGTTTAGACGCGTTGAAGAATGAATTGACTAAAATAGTCAAGAACTTATGGAAATTTGGCTGACACTGGAATTCCAATCTTTCCAACCTATTCGAAAAATATTTTTCCCTAGCACACAAGGGAGAGTTTTCCCGCCTTCGTCGTCCAAAAGCGATACATTTCGCCTATCCATAACGCATCATCTCAAGAATATTCCTTGCCCAAACATCTTGTGCTACAAGCCTGAATATCATCCGCTGTTCCCGCTTGATTTGTCTGAAATATGGAAAGAATGTAGCGATCCACAACTCATCCATCTTGATTCACTTTCATGCTTGCCGAGGTCCTGTAGACTTTTGGGTCGAACAGCCAGGAACCCATCCATAGCACATCTGGAAATTCCCAGACCAATCGAAGGGCTATTCCCAACAACATAATAAACAGAGACGATCCTGTCAAAGTTGTGTCATCTTCCGACAGATAGTGCAAACTCCACTAGAAGACATCTAAATCTCCTCACAGCCAAGGTTTTTTACTTTTCATTCAAACTGGCATCTATTAACACCCTAAGGATCAAAAATATGTCAGAGCAACCAGAACACTCGATGAAATGAACTGAGACTAAGGGTTGAATGAGTAGTGGTCTGAGTAGTCTATTCACAGAAAAGAAAACGTCTCCACAGTCACGTTAGATTGCTCCGGAAAATCCAGCTTTCAAAGACAAGAAACACTAGATCATTTGTTCACCTATATGAAAAGGATCGATGGCACTTTGATTTATTCTGGTGCAAGTTGATTGGGACTCTGGCTACCCGGCTTGGGTGGACTATAGTGTTGAAATTCCTGTCAGGAAGATTTCTAACTCAAAACTCTGTGTTGAAATCTTGTTGGTAGCTCGGCTGCGTTAACTGGTTGTTGATCACGTGGCTGTTGACCCGTCTGCCGAGCTTATCAATTTACTGACAAACGTTACTTCACCAAGCGAGAAGACATCATCAGTGCGCAGCTGATTGTCTCATTTGGTAAGAAAACGTTTGCAAAAATGAAATCCCTATTAGCTAGAGTTCATTGGTTCGTCAGTAAACGAATATATTCCAAAGACGATTAAACAGCTCACTTCTTATACGCCACCGTACTCCAACCGTCAAATAACCAACGGGAATATGCAAAATCGCTCCAGAGATAGCGCTCTCCACCACCACTTGCAATCCGCACAAAATCTAATGAAAAACACTGTCCATATGACTGGCGTCACGCCAGTTGTTTTTCTGGCGTTCTTGCCACATAGGCTTTCTCGACTGCACCATTCTCTAATGCATTCATTTGACGTACCTTCATTAATACCCGACCAAATGTCACAAAGGTGTGTTAACAAGATCAACCTTCAAGTTGTTTGATCTGAAGCACTAGACCGACTTCACACTGACGGCAAGTAGTGTGTGTGTGTGTGTGCGCGCTGTTTTGACAACACCATTATATGTTTCTGTTCTCCATTATCCAACGGTGTTATTTGCAATTACCCTCATTTGACAATGGATAATTCGTATCGCAGTTCGGATCACGCGAGACCTGACCAACGAGGGTGCGAAGTTGGAACACATCCTGCGAACAAACCACCATGTAGTGCCTCGATTTGGATGTGAACTTTCCAAGGCAACCAAAGACCTGTAGGGTTGCACGTGGATGTGAAATCCTTCGCCCCACACGCTGTTTCTCTCAACCAGAAGGTATTTTGTCAGACCGACTTTTAGTGGACATCCTATTAAACGGTCTGTCAATGATATACTACTCGTGATTTTACTCGTCTGTGGGATGAAGGCAGAACTACAGTTTTAGTTTACACTACTGTATAGATCCAAGCCGCAGTTGATAAGCCTCAGTCCGAATGCTTTTGGTCACGTTTTGAGTGACCCAAGTTTTCAGACCAGATTTTGTCAGTGGATGCGATCGTATTCAGAAAGCTGTTCATAGGAAGAAGTTGAACGGAGAGATTGGATGAAGACCGACTGGGTTGTGCCTACGTGGCACAATGGTTCCGTTTGTGTTGCCGGGTGAGCGACACCTGAGATATCGTTCACATACGGTGGTTCATGGATTTTTCAAAAGGACGGGAAAGTATGAAGCGCTTGACTTCTGGTAGACCAGGTTGGTTTCTGTTCTTCAAACCCAGTCATTGAATTTACTATCATCTGAATGACCGTCACATTCTCCCTAAGGATGGCCATCAGGGTAAGGCAAGTTATTAGGTATTCTTTTGAAGCGATCTCCCCTCAACTGAATGCAAATGAAGTGTGGGTAATGGGGAGAGCTACTGTACATTTTCTAGAATAGCACTCACAAACAGATGATACCCTTCTGAGGGTACTCACCTATAGCATTTTGTTTCAGTATATAAGGCAAATTATGCGAGTTCTCGATAGCGTGAGGTAGTCTGGAACTATTGATAGAGAGTTTGTCTTCGAACTGAAGTCAGTTTAGGCAAGAAATCTCTTTGCATTTCGCAAACCTCACAGGCTATTCAAGCCCACAATCTTCAGGCTATTAGCTAAATGTAGTTATAAGCAGCTAATCAGTAGTTTGTTTACATCTCACTTAGACGGAATACAGCACTACTCATCCCTCAGTAATGAAATTCAAATCACCTGGTCACGTAAAGAGTGGCTTCTCGAGCGAGCGCTTCTCAAAGGAATAGTTCATAGAAATGGTGAATTCTTTGTCTTGCTGAGCTACTTTCAGTTTCTTGACAGTACAACAGACCTTGGAAATTTCATCTACGAGTTTGCCCTGAGCGAACCTGAGACAGAAAGCCGAAACCCCTGGACACTTTCTTCACTCTCGTTGGGTTTCATTCACAAACCTCGTCTTACGGGTGTTCCTCGCTGTTTTTGAGCGTAAGATGGCTGAAATTCCTCACTTCAAATAACTACCTGCAACTAAGCTGCTGTGTTACACGCTAGATGCCCCTTTTTACTCTCTGCATAATACAGTCTAAATAGCCGGGGCGGTCTGCTAAATACTCTTGTTTGCATGGACACTCAACTGAATTCAACTGTGCCTTCACCAGGCTACCTCACGTTCCAGTTGCTATGCTCTTCAAGATATTGCAATAACTTGTATAGATGTAGTACACTGCTCATGAGGTTTGTAAATATTCTTCCATGAAGGGTTTTCAGCAACCTTATGAGTAGCACGTTACGTCTTGACAGGGAGAAAATTCGTTTCACTCATGAAGACCTAAGGTGGAGATGAGTTTTAGATCCACCTTTCGCTTCAGTCACTGATGAACAATAGGTGACCAGCCTTTTGAAAACTTTGTATCGTCACTATTCTGCGTGATTAATTTTCTCGTGTTTTAGCCCGAATAAGAGTACGTGCCGATTCGTAAACAGGTCCTACTCACTTGGGACAACAACGATCAACTGCTCCAATGGGGAGAGATAAAAAGCTGGACTGACGAAAAGCTGAAGCTGAAATCAGGTTGAGGCTACGTAGAATATATGTGGAAATGACGTGGAAATACTTGCTTTTTTGATACCAGAGTAGGCATGTTACTATGGGCTTCCTGCTCAAAATGTCTTCCACTTTTTGTAGCCATCCGAGAACTGAATGAAACCAGATTCGTCGAAAGCGCAAGGTAAGTGCCTATACGTTTTAGAACTTCTAATATCAATAGTTTTTTGGAGAAAATCTACTCAGAATGTAATCAAATGTATATGATGAATGACATCTTCACGCATTTTAGAAGTTAGAAGCAGGTGAAACCATCCTGTTTCGCTGCAGGTTTGATAACAATCAGTGAAGCACTAGGAGTTTTAAAAGATAAAAACGAAAGCGCTAAACGATAAACCTGCGGGAGAACCACACTTCACTTGACCTGTTGCAACTCACTGCACGGAGAGTCCACCTCTCACTAGGGACGATTTTGACTGGTCTGTTGGGAGTGTGTTAAAGTGGTCGCTCCCTCTATGTAGTTCATACAGAAGAATGCCAACGAAGGAAGAACGCGAAGCCATTAGGACACTTGCAAACTAACAGAGACCCTGTATGTGTACCACCCGAGATCCGAGTCTGTCCTGCTCAACGAACAGCCCATTTGGCAATAATAATCATTAGAGTTATTATCGTTACTACCGATGGCTTTCTTAACGTTGGACAGTGAGCGTTTGGACAGCCAACGAAATTCCGAAGTTGCAGAGCCCAGAGACAAATTACCAGTCGCTTCAGTTGGAAATCAAGCCCTGACAGTTGAGCACGTCCCCTCGCCTATTGATTCAAAGACCGACCCGGAATCCATGCGCTACGTTAATCTCCGTGGATTCAATATTGGACTAAGCTTAGCAGTCTGCTACGCATCGACATGCGGAGGTTTGGCCACGGTGACGGGCACAGGGCCGAATGCAATATTCTTCGGACAGGTGAACAGGTAACTATAGTTTTGCTATAATTTGTCGTCTGCTTGTACGTTGTCAGTAGTACATTCAAAAACACGCATGAGTGTTCACACATTCGTTCAGTTTGATGGGAGATGTTGATGGCAAAATTCCCAGTCTATGTTTGAAATTATTTTCCCTCAGTGAGCACAGAAAGCAAAGAAAGTGGGTCACGTGCGGCTCAGTAAGCGGATAATAAAGAAGCTCCAGGGCTAAAGACTACAATTAGACACAGATGCAGCAAGTTAATGTAAAACTCAAATGAGTGAGTTCACCGTCGGGAAACCTCCACAGCAGTTCACCCAGTAGAATGCTCCGTCACTAACTGGGGGAACACGGATCTACGTTATGTCGAGAGACGTTTGTCACCTAGACACCCATTCTAAGTCCCCATTTTCTAGTGCCTTATTCCAGTGGATCCGTGTGATGAACGATCTGTAACCGGCACACTTTCGTAATGGTCCGGATATACTATCAGTGAACGGAGGAAAGCTCTTCGCTAGGAAATCATTTGACAGGAAACACGGTTACAAGCCATCAGACATGAAAGTAAACACCTTATATGCACATTTTTTTAAAGTGAACATTCTCCCGCTCTCTCTTGAAATTTCCAGGATGTTGATTAATTATTACAGAATCGTGAACAAACACTGCGAAGCGATCTCACTATTTATGTAATAAACTTCGCTTTTTCAGCAGATGCGAGGACGGAGCTTGGATACTAGATCATGGGCTACTCATATACTCCATCAGTAGTATACGTCTTTACGCCAGTTCCGGTGGTCATTTGACTTATTCATTCTGTCTCATCTAAAGCTGTCACACTTCTGTTGTAGCGCGTGACGAAACTAACCTTAACTTGGCCAAATTTTTGAAAATATTTCTTCCGGCTGAGCTAACATAACACTTAGATAGTAAACGTCCATAAGTAAGCAAGAGTTAGTGAATACAGTGTCCTCGAACTCACTCAGAATCTATTTTACAACTTTACTTGTGCCCGCATGCCGTTAAACGAGCATTGTTCAACTTTATCTTCATTGATATCACAAGTTTGAAACAATCGATTGGAAAGTCTTCGAAACGGAGAACGTAAAATTTCCTTGAATCGCTGTTTTCTTTTTCATTTTACTCAGTCGTTATGGTGAAATGACTGGCCTAAACTTTGGTTCCTGGATGGCATTCGCCATGCCTATCTCGATTCTCATGCTATTGGTGACGTGGATTGTACTCACAATGATTTATATCGGCCCGAAGTGAGTGACTGAGTAATGCTTAGAGCTTTGGTCAAGTTTTTCTAGGCAAACCGAATAGAAGTGCGGTTCAAAAATACTGACTGACTTATTTTTACAATACAAATTCAGTACAATACACTACAATACAATCAATACAAATCCAGAAGAAATTTCGTGGGCGGACTCAACCACACTGTGGTCTGCTTGTGCAATCTGTCAGTGCTTAATTCATTAGACCTTCCGATGAGAGCTTGGTTGTTCACATTTGCCGACTTCACCAAAGCTTCTCATAGGGGGAAGGTAGGAGGCTCGCAGAAGCTCGAGTAGAAATCGATGACAGTCAGGAACATTCAGGAACATTCATCTTCACAGTAGATCAGCGAAGGCCACGTGGACTTGTTTATGTTGTTTTCGACAGAATAACTGAGATTTTCAACACTCGATAAAAACATCTTCACGAAGAAGGAACTGTAGACTCTCACGCTTCAGTTTCACTGGCCGTCCATTTCGGAGATAAAATTCATATTGTGTTTCACAATGTTGTTGACCATAGTCTCCTTAGTGCCTCCTTAGTACATTCCCTGAAATGCGCTCCAGAGACCTCCATGCTCCTCTATTTCTCAGGTGATTAGGGCTTCTGATGTCTGTTGATCCCAGATTTATTCCGGAGTTGCGACGCACCGCTGTATTCCTCACAAAGTCCCTCTTGGTCGATAAACACTAGTTCCTCAAATTTTAGGTGACGGAAACCGGTGGCCAAACACACTCGTATGTGACAAGCAAGTAAACACAAGATTATCAAACAGCTGGGTCAATTACTTCAGACCGAACAGCCCATTCTCTCCGACTCTTGCTAAACCTGTCGAAGAACGCTCGGATAGAGGAGAAACCATTATAACGAGTTTCCGTTCAACTGGGCGACACCTCCGTCTAGGAAATCACTTACATATCTCATCGAGGGGATCGTAACACATTTTTAAAAGTGTTCTGGACTACAGTCTCCTTAATGCCCTCTTATTAACGTGAATCCCGGTCTGGGTAGCCGCTTGATCTTCTGGTGAGCTTAGCCGAACCAGAAGAAGTCAATGAACGTGTGAACCGGCTGATCTATTGATCACTGTCGCGTACAAGCGGTCAAAGTGATACTAAGAGTACCACTCATCTGTCAACGACGACTGAAGAACAACCAACTAAATCCGTCTCAAAGAACACGGTTATTCCATTGGCTGTTTTATGGTCCCGTTACGTTCGGAGCTGTTTCTTCTAATACACAAGATAGAAAAGATCATAGAAAGACAGGAAGATTTTAAAAAAGATTTGTTACGCTCAAGGTAATTACTGCGTCTAATTTCCTTCGTTGACTTTTTATTGGAAAATTAGCTATCGTCAAGGGCAAAAATGATGTTGGTTTGTATGCTGAGATTGTAACCCGGAAGCACGGTCACCAAGCGATATGGACAAGGATGCCTTCAGCTGAAAATAAAATTAGCTATCGTCAAGGGCAAAAATGATGTTGGTTTGTATGCTGAGATTGTAACCCGGAAGCACGGTCACCAAGCGAACAAGGATGCCTTCAGAATCTCTGAAAATAAGCAACTATGTGGAGGATAAAATATTAGCTGCAATACACCCGGTGTACTTTCTTCAAAACAAAGATCAGAGACTACATACTTGGTGAATAGGAAGGTGAACTTTGTGAACTGCATTCATTCGCACATTACTATGGTTTGAATGGGAGAATCGATTAAATAGAGCTAAATTATTCGTTTTTTTGCGCCCCTATCGGACGAATTCGAAGAAGGGCGAGACCGGTCCTGGGCTACTGAAGAGTCTCCAGTTACCTCACCAGTAGTATAGTATGTTTTGCCTAGTAGGTTAAGTTACTTGGCACACGTGTAACCGGTCAAACTTAGTGCTTACGGATAGCCATTTACGAGCGAGGAAGCGTACAGTCTATGAATGCGGTTCAAAATTACTTTAGCAATTTATACAATGCAAAGTGACTTATTGATGGGGCCCGCAAGTTTGTCATCGGATATGTTTTCCCTGCGTCATGCTTCGCCGTCACAACGAGTGTATATTTCAATTTATACAATGCAAAGTGACTTATTGACGGGGGCCCGCAAGTTTGTCATCGGATCTGTTTTCTCTGCATCATGCTTCGCTGTCACAACGAGTGTATATTGTGCTTCACAAACTACTTTGTCGCAGCTCGAGATCAAAATTTTTTACGCAGCATAGGACTTGATTCATATAATCTTCCGGGATGACTCTTACGACAATTATATCATAGCCAAGGACAGCCTCGAAAGCATTACCTGGATTGCTTGTCGAATGTTCGACGGGGCACAGTTCACAATGGACTGGAGGCTACTATGTCAGTGTGGAACCACGCCCAACAGTCGGTGACAAGATTTAAGTTCCTCCAAATGAAGATGAACATTTCCAAAACATGCTTTTTCTGAGCCTGCCGAAAAATCGCTGGAACCGGATATGGAAATCTCAAGCTGGTTAGACTAATTTTGGTCAGTCTTATGCGATTTACAAAAATTCGCCTTCGGACAACTGCCGTTTACACAAAGAAATGAGCGTACTTCATTAGAGATCATCAACATTGAATGTCAGTGGCTCTATCGAGATGGGTGCCACCCGTCTTTTGGGTCAGTCGGTAGACACAGGTTACCGAATGTTTGGACTAATTTTTCGGTTATCTAGTCATATCACTCAAGCGTGCATGCATTCACCTGCTTAGAGGGGATAAACCAGGTGCGCCTAGAATGCACCGGTGGAGAGACTTGGTGGGAAGCTCGCCTCACTTATCGGATGTCTAGCGTTCAAACTCCAACAGACACATTACTAATGCATTTTAGTGAGAGGGAAACTGGAGTTAGGTGCATTCTACTTTGGTGTAGAATCCCTGTAATTATTGCGTCAAAACAGAAGAAGGGCTGTCAAGAAAATACTGCAAATACAACTTCCAAGTGGCAAACCATTGATTTCCCCTGATAACGGCAAGGAGTGCCCACCGGCATTCCGGACAGCATGAGTGAATAGATGCCAGAAAGGTTGACAGATTCCTCTTCCAGTTGAATGACACATGACACTTATACTACTCAATGTATCAGACAGCAAACTGACTTCATGATTATTGATTCTAACAATCATGTATTTCGGTGAACTCGTTGCAGGTACATCATTGAGGCTGGAATTCGCCTTTTTTCTGGTTCACTTTTGAACGGTAGCTTGATTTCTTACGGTCGATCAGACCACCAATCGGAAAGATACTGTTCTTGAATAGGCATAGTTTCGTGAAATCCTAATCGTTACGTTTCTAGCATTGTGAAAGCCTTGTATTTTTGTTGTGGTTTCATCAAAGCGGAGATGCCTGTTGTGGGATAGTGCGTTCCCAAACTGTCAGTACGGACAAGCAGGTCCTCATGCAATTGTGAGTAGAAACAGGCAGGTGCTTCCAAACGGTGAATGCGTTAGTCATGTGATTTGGATGTCTTGTGATGATTGTCTACATTTTCCACCTTCCATGTGTACCAAGTCGATTCCGTTGCGAATAAAAGTTTGGCTCTTTTGGACATTAAGAGTCTTACACAAGAGAGTTGATGGGAAAATGCTCCATGTGGACCCTAATGGAAAGGCGCCGTCGTTCAAGAGTCACTAGTGTGACAAAGGACTGGTGACTACAACTCATTGATCGTTGGTTGCCATATAAGTCACCGATGATTGGTTACTCAAAGCAAAATTATTATAAACGAGCGATTCAGTCGATATCCGTTTGAGTCTCTTTTTAACACTAAGCTAAGTTGCAAATGAGTATAGGACTTCAGGTAATCAACCTCATTCCCTTCCAAGTAATGAAATAAAGTTGATGGAAACTCGAGGATCAGTCCTACTTGAAAGGAAAACCGGTGGTGGACTGTCGAAGATGTTCATAGTCATTTCAAGATCTCTGGTAACAAATCAATCAATTGCGGTGGTGTGTGAAGAATCGGAAATTTTTAAAGAGTTCGTCCCGCAAATGGAGCCAATCTATACTGAAAAACCAGGAAGCGTTGTCTTTCTGTTCCATCACCAGCAGTGCTCATCTCACAAAACTCCAAAAAGCTTGAGCTCCCTGTCTCCCAGCTAGTAGCTTAAGCATTTTACCGTTCGGCCAAGAGTGGCCGATCATCAGTGTGATTACCTGTCACGCAAAAAGGACATAGTGCCACTTCTCCTTCAATTATGGGATCCACATCACGTGGTCACACATGTTAACTTTTTCTTCCAGTGACCACTTTTTAGACGGATGTTCCACTCATTGGTTGAATTTTATTCTTCCCCTCAGCTACTTATGAATTGTTAGTAGTGTGAGATTTGAAGACTCAGGAGAGAATCTCCCATACAGGATAAATCAAACCGGCTACATGGTTAGTCGCTTTGTTGTTTCTCTCAAGTAACCCGTTCTTGACTAACTACACAACATATTTAATTGTCTTTTGTCGATACCTGTGCTTCAGGGCCTTCTGTTTGTGCAGACTGGACAGGGACCAAGCGTTGCTGGTTCGAGAAGTGATGCATCGGGAATATAAGAAGCTTGGAGGATTCACGTGAGTTTTTCATACACAAAATAGCGTACCCTTCGAATACGTTTAGTTGCCACACTAGAGAATAAAAGTGGAAATGTCAACACCTCGTGTTCATCTCTTTAGTCCCACATCAAGAGTGGTCATTTGAATGCAAAAGATCAATCGATCAATCAATATATAAGCAATAAACCATGTACCTTGGTACAGTTCCAGTTGCTGCAATTTTGATCAACAAAAGTGGAAAGCGGGAGAGATACAGTTAGGAATTGGAGGCGATGGCATGTTCAGTTGGTTTGAGAACTGGGTAGCTACACATCGAAGGCGGCAACTTTGATGCAGGAGGGGGGAATGAATCGGAGCCGGCCTGTTCGAACTGCATACCTCTGAGGCCAACTAATTAGTCGTATCAGGGAATTCGGTGCTCAGTTGATACTGATGAACCAGTAGGACGCCTATAGAAGTGGCGAATTCCGGAAATATATGCCGCACACTGTTTTGGGTTCAACCATGTGGGTGGTGGCACAGCCATACGCAGCCTGAGACTAGCAGTCGTATCAGGGAATTCGGTGCTCAGTTGATACTGATGAACCAGTAAGACGCCTATAGAAGCGGCGAATTCCAGAAAGAAATTCCGTACACTGTTTTGGGTTCAACCATGTGGGTGGTGGCACAGCCATGCGCAGCCATGAGACTAGCTCCACCGGATAATCACCATGCTGACACAAGTGACAATATCTAAATTCGCAAATCCAAAAGAAGCAATCATTTTCGACAGACACTGTTGCACAGTACTTATTTGGATAAGTCTACCTCTGTTCATAGCTGATTACCGATGTAATAGGACCTAAAATTCACGCAGTCAGAAACAGAAATCTTACTATCTGACTACGATTTGGTAACTGGCACAAAGGGCAGCTAGAGGACACAGACCGGGTGCCTCATGTAGCAGAAATGACCCAGCATCACTGGTGGCTATCCTGGCGAACCGACCTTTGAGTGATGGACCGAAAAAACCCTGACACACTTGTAGTGTATCAGTTTGTCTGAAGTTGTAGTGAAACCTAAGTGAACAGGCGAAAAATTGTGTGGCAGTACATTGGAATACCCGCCTTAAGCCAGATGACCGACCGGTCATTGGGCACGAGGCAAGCGCAATTTCGAAAACCCGCTCCACTGACTGCCAAGCTCATCAAAGTCACCGACAGATTCTAGAACAAAGAAAGCATCATCTACCTCTGCACAACCACCGTTAGACTCAAAATAAACGGGAAAGAAGTACCTGAAAAAAGTTGATGATGACACTACGGGTTGTCCTTTGGGCCCAACATTAGCGGATATCTTCAGATGAATAATCGAACAAAACACATGCGACCGTTGATATCCACAGTTCTGAGGTTACAATCCAGTAGTTCATCAGCGTGGACCGGTAAAGACCTTAGTGTGCAAACTGGGCACACAATGCAGCTCAGAACAGTCAGAACAAAAGAGGAAAAATCCTTTACATGTGCAGCTACCATTCCTTCCGAATGGAGCAGTTGAGCTAAGTGTTCAGAATTGCATCGGGTAGCTTGTTCACTGGTGTTTGATCTGATGGATTTTTGCAATTTGCTTGCAAACGCTTTGTCACCATTCGACTAGATGTTATCAGTAGTACACCCACTCAACCGCGTTCTGATGATGTCTTCCCGATTAGTGAGGGAACGCCTGAAAGGAAACACTCAGCTGATTAACTGCCATGTGAGCGTTCTACCTGTCGTGTGGTTTCGTCCTGCTCCCGTGCTATGAACTCGTCGAGTTTTTAACGCAGGTCAACTGTGGAGGTTCCTTAGGCTTTGTCGTTCAATACAAGTTTTCCTGTAATTAGGAAAATATTTACAGAGCGGGGAAGAAACCTTACTGCCATGACTCAGTCTTCTAAAGCATATTCGTGTTGACGGCTTACAAACAGCCCGGCTGAAGCCCCAAACAATAAGAAAAATCCGAATTCAAGGTAGATTGAAATGCTCCCCATGCTAACTGACTGCGATTTAAAGCGTCCCGTTGAAATTACCGATGTTATTAGTTCTGTAGACCCAAAATTTCCTTCGAGCAGAGGACAGGCCTCTTATTCGATTCTCAGCATTCAACATAAAACCCGCCTCATTTTTCAGTTGACAAACTTAACCGCGTCAAACTGTCCGAAGTCCAAGTAAAACACTAGGAATCAGTTGAAAGATCACGAAAGAACTTGAAATTTCGTGTATATTTGTACAAACACTTCCCTCCTGGAAAGTTTTGATTCCCGAATTACCAAGAACAAGTTAGTTGCGGCAAAGCCGACGAAAACAGTGACAATGTTGGCAGTCGGAATCCATCGCCAAAGGATTTCAAGATAAAACATCAAAAGATTTCTGCATTTTAAAGAACAAATGCGAACACAAACAGAAACGGATCGATAGATAGATGGACGGATAGATAGACAGACAGACAAATAGACAGATAGACAGACAGACAGAGACAGATAGATAGATAGATAGATCGATAGATAGATAGATAGATCGATAGATAGATAGATAGATCGATAGATAGATAGATAGATCGATAGATAGATAGATAGATCGATAGATAGATAGATAGATCGATAGATAGATAGATAGATCGATAGATAGATAGATAGATCGATAGATAGATAGATAGATCGATAGATAGATAGATAGATCGATAGATAGATAGATAGATCGATAGATAGATAGATAGATCGATAGATAGATAGATAGATCGATAGATAGATAGATAGATCGATAGATAGATAGATAGATCGATAGATAGATAGATAGATCGATAGATAGATAGATAGATCGATAGATAGATAGATAGATCGATAGATAGATAGATAGATCGATAGATAGATAGATAGATCGATAGATAGATAGATAGATCGATAGATAGATAGATAGATCGATAGATAGATAGATAGATCGATAGATAGATAGATAGATCGATAGATAGATAGATAGATCGATAGATAGATAGATAGATCGATAGATAGATAGATAGATCGATAGATAGATAGATAGATCGATAGATAGATAGATAGATCGATAGATAGATAGATAGATCGATAGATAGATAGATAGATCGATAGATAGATAGATAGATCGATAGATAGATAGATAGATCGATAGATAGATAGATAGATCGATAGATAGATAGATAGATCGATAGATAGATAGATAGATCGATAGATAGATAGATAGATCGATAGATAGATAGATAGATCGATAGATAGATAGATAGATCGATAGATAGATAGATAGATCGATAGATAGATAGATAGATCGATAGATAGATAGATAGATCGATAGATAGATAGATAGATCGATAGATAGATAGATAGATCGATAGATAGATAGATAGATCGATAGATAGATAGATAGATCGATAGATAGATAGATAGATCGATAGATAGATAGATAGATCGATAGATAGATAGATAGATCGATAGATAGATAGATAGATCGATAGATAGATAGATAGATCGATAGATAGATAGATAGATCGATAGATAGATAGATAGATCGATAGATAGATAGATAGATCGATAGATAGATAGATAGATCGATAGATAGATAGATAGATCGATAGATAGATAGATAGATCGATAGATAGATAGATAGATCGATAGATAGATAGATAGATCGATAGATAGATAGATAGATCGATAGATAGATAGATAGATCGATAGATAGATAGATAGATCGATAGATAGATAGATAGATCGATAGATAGATAGATAGATCGATAGATAGATAGATAGATCGATAGATAGATAGATAGATCGATAGATAGATAGATAGATCGATAGATAGATAGATAGATCGATAGATAGATAGATAGATCGATAGATAGATAGATAGATCGATAGATAGATAGATAGATCGATAGATAGATAGATAGATCGATAGATAGATAGATAGATCGATAGATAGATAGATAGATCGATAGATAGATAGATAGATCGATAGATAGATAGATAGATCGATAGATAGATAGATAGATCGATAGATAGATAGATAGATCGATAGATAGATAGATAGATCGATAGATAGATAGATAGATCGATAGATAGATAGATAGATCGATAGATAGATAGATAGACAGATGGATAGGCAGGTAGATAGATAGAAAGATACATAGATAGACAGACAACATACACAGATAGACAGATAGATAGATACATAGTTTAACTGGTTGCCTGATCTGTTGATGGATTGATAGATAGAATGCTCCATTGACTGACTGATTGACTGACGGACTGGTTGATCGATCGGTCGATTGATTGATTGATGATTGATTGATTGATTGATTGATTGATTGATTGATTGATTGATTGATTGATTGATTGATTGATTGATTGATTGATTGATTGATTGATTGACGTGTTGCTGAATAAATGATTGTTCATTTGCTGTGGTTGACTGCTTGGTGTGTCGGTGCAAGGATTGTGAGACAGTTGGTCTCAGCCGTGGCATGGCCCCGCTCAGCGAACAGGAGCAAGCGCTTTTCTCGTTAGAATCGCTCCAAGCATCCCAACTCTAACTTTCATTCAGCCATCGCTTGAGGCAAGCTAATCGACTTAAACCATGCTCCCAGGGATAAGAAGTCAATGATCTTCGTGCGCAGACTCTCTTTGTTGCAGTGTGTTGTTGCTTGACAAAACGTGTAAAAATGATGAAACTAGAATTGTTACGCTTGATTTTGTCTCAAATGGCCAAAGTTTAGGAAAAATTCCGTCAAGTGTGCCTCATCCTTCTCCCCAGTTCTGTTTAATCCATTCTGCCACTGGATGTGAGGTCAAGCCAAAGAGGAGACCAGCTCTGAGTGTGCACAAGTGAGTCTATTCCGGACTCCAGCAGAACTGTTCTCGGGTAGCATCAGCTGTTACCGGTGCAGTCTAATACTCATGGTCTTGCATCAGTAGAACTATCAGGAGGCTTTGGCTTGGCACGCAACACAGCATGGGCTTGTAGTACTCTTATGGTCGGTTTCAAAATGCCCGTTACCAGCTCATGGAAAATCTACGCCCTTTGCCGAATGACTGCCTGTGGGTACCGCAACTTAAGTGTACGGATAGGTGGCGATGCCGGGCCTGCAGCAAGTTTTTACTTAACACCATCGGCGAATTAATGTCCGGATCCGTTTCAAGTCCTATCGATCAATCATCTCATTATTTCACAGTGTTCAGCTGAAAGTCAACGCAGACCAGTGCCGTGTAATCAGCATGCTTCATTTGCTTTTGTCAGTAATGCGGGGTAATCGAGGCACTGCACCGCTTGACACAAGCTGCTAAACAGCCAATCAGAAGGCGAGCCAATCACAATCGAACAACTTTGAGCCGTCAATGTATGATTCGGAGAGGCGACCAGGAAGACTGTTTGCACAAAAACACCGATTTTCCTTGATCGATTCCCAGGGTCACGACACCAATACTATCTTGCATTCACAAACGCCTCCCAAGGAAGCTTAATCGTGCAGCTTCCGCACTGGGGGACACAGTAAGACAGACTTTTTAGAGGGTAGTTTTAATTTATTCTGAGAGTGTAATGGCTGCTTCGACTCTGTTTGTACCCGATCTGCGGACATTATCTAAATCTCTCTTTCGTACCCTGTTCACAGTTACGCAGAAGGTTGCTGTTGCGTCTTATTCGCGGTCATCACATCCTTGTGGGTGACTCGAAATATTGGCGAATTTGGATGGTCCAAGTTCTTCAAATCAGACAAGAATCCAACACAAATGTGAGTTGCTCTGTTGAACTGTAACTTGGATAAATTTGTATCCTGTTTTATTAATATGAATGTCCATTTTCAAACTAAGCGGAATCGAGTTAAACGGAAAGGTCGAGGGGTGCCGTACGCCCGCTTCGTTTGCTTCCACCAATCTCTTGGAAGACTGGAATCAGACGTCTGTTTGCATGTACCATTCAGCCGCGGACGGTGGATGAGGAAAGCACGGCGGAACGAATTGCTCAGCGTTGCCGAACTACCAAGTGAGACCGAAAAGTTACTCAAGTGGAAGGCAGTAAAGTAGTCAGTGTGTCAGCTATGCTCTGTGTGTCCGTCTCACGTGGCTAACTCTGATTCTCGATCTGAATGTGACCTCGGTTTGACTTATGAGTAATGCAGGCTTCCAGCATACCCGAAAGTTAAATATTTGTGTCGGCTGTTTTTAAATTTTCCTATTAGGGCGTGCAAATGATTCGACATAACTTCCTGGGGTCCCAGAAGAGACTTTTGGTGATCAGCGATGCACAGACCAACGTGACCAGTAACTAGCCCGATGGGTGTCTCAGAGCTGGTGAGAACAACCAGATCACACTTTTCGCACCCTGACTGGTTCTTGCTGATAGTTTTTCGGAACTCCGGTCCTCTTTCTTTAAGCCCACACCAAGTTTCTTGGTCATGAAATAGCTTCAAATTGGGCTCATATCTGAACAGGTTCCGTTATCATAGGTCGATGCTGTCGGACATGGATACCTGCTAACAATTCTTCGCCTCGCTGCGTCATAGTTGTCTAGGTGACAGACAGCTCCACAACCATAGCGGTTTTCACATTTTTCGCCTCACTTGTGTGCCGTTAATCCAGAACGTTTCTGTCAATTTTATTTTTAAAAATCACGGGAACTGCGAATAACCCGAACATCAACAGACAACCTGGTGACAGTTCTCTTCGATAAGAATTTGGAAATGCGGTCTACATTATCAGACCTTTAGGATCGAGGTCAACTAACGGCAACAGGCTTGATGTGTTGAGGTCCGTCGAACGACTGCAGGTGTTCTCTGACTGCTCACCTGGACAGAGCTCGAAGCCCCCACTTGTTGTGCTGGTTGGACGCATGACAAAACATAGATGGAAGAATCAATACGCTTATGAACTCTTCAAAACAAATTGATGTGATGAGAGCTGTGGTGTATTCCAAATACAACTTTAGAAACAAAAGAAGCTCTCACACCAGCGTCTACTTTCTACGGTAAACTGGTTAACCTGGCACTGGACCGACGTTGCAGAGAGTCGTAATATATAAGGGAAACAGTCACAATGCCGGTTCAACATGATTACCGCCGGTCCACGGTCTGTAACGATCAAATATACCCGGCAGCTTGTAGCGAAGTAGAGGAGGACAGGTAGGCTGCACAATTAAACCCAGGATTCTTCTGTGCATGGGGTTTTTCAAGAACTGGACGAGCAATCCGAACAGGGTGTACACGTATCTGCAAAACGTCGAGTTATGCGGTGCTTGAAATGATAGAGTAATACCGAAATCGAAGGTCCTGTGGCTTTTAGGTACAACAATTTTATCGAAGGGGGCGATGGACTTACTGCAATTGATTTTCAACTCACAGGGATCCTACTCACGGTCGAGGACTTTGTCCGTCTATATGGAAAATTTCGATAAACTTTGGATAGCTTAAACCAGTGCGGAGGTGATTAGTAGGCAGCATGAACTAGGCGGTTATATGCTAGCAGACACGAAAATTAAATTATCATTTGCACTGAGTACTTGATAAGCAAACATTCACAAGTGTTCTCTTGAGCCTTCCCGAACTTGATTTCAATTTTGAGCAATAAATTACAAACACTGCAAAGCGGTTTCATAATTTCTGCACCTAAATTCCATCAGATGCGTCGACGGCGCTTTGACACCTGAAAAGAAACTACTCACGCGTTTCGTCAGTAGCACGCGTCAATATACCCAAATCCCCTGAGCCTTCGTAACTCATTCGTTTGAGGTTATTTAGAGAGGTGTATGAGAGTGTTAAAAGGCAAACGAGTCGGCTGTGGTGGGTGCGGTGGTCAGGCATTATAGCTGGACGTTATTGCGCCAACAAAACGCTGGTGGGGATTTCTGCCAAAGAACTGTTGATTCTCACTTTTTTCCCACGTGGATAAATCTAAAAAATATCTTAGGCATGTTGAGTTATTGTCAACATCACTGTGAGGCTCATCGGATGGAGTTTAATTGGAGTTTAGAGCGAAATTCTATTGTTTCACCAGTTCCATGTAGTCAGTCAACATAGCAGTAGAACAGTCTCACGATCGTCATCATCAATCTAATCGTCGTGAAACTACATTAGTATCTGAAGATGCACTTTTCTGGCGTGTGAGGAGAACTATTTATTGGTTAGCGACTGATTGCATTTTCCGTAGCAATCATAAAAAGCCTGAGCAAATGGTAAAGGAATGCATACGTTCAACCGAGGAGCACCACTCGCCTCAAACCTGGCTTTCAAAGTGGCCAAAACTGATCTAGTGAAGATGTACTTTCCTCTTAAGTGAGTCCAAAAGTCCTTGACGATTCTTCTTAGTCATTCTGGGTTGTATCTGATTTGAGAAAACGAAAGTGCTTCACTCACGCGTGTCTACACACTAAAGGATAAAGCCTGCTTCGACGTAAAAGCCTGAATATAGGTCATTACGACATAAAGGTCACTAGAGCATCCTCATTCAACTATAGCTCCTGTTTCATGTTATATGACAAAATACTTTTGTTATCGATTTTCGAAGAACATCTGCCTCAATCTTTGAGAATTGGAGGGCATGCGGGACACGGACGCTATCACTGTTTATCAGTTAAGAGTCCCGAAATGGGCAAGGTGAGGTAAGTTTGCTTAGATTTCTAACAATGAAACGGGTCACTTGCATCTGTTGTACCCGGTTCTCTAATAAAACCAGAGTGGTTCTACTCGGATTGGCTTCGTATTCTTCAGGGGAGAGCGCAGTACTGTACTGAAACCTGAATGAATGAACAAACTATAGCAGTGAATGAAGGAACGCCTCCCAGTGCGGTTACAGTCTATCAGAAATGAAAGTAAAAAACTTCATTTGGACAGTCATCCTTTTGAAGTTTTTTGGACTTTGTTTGAAAACTAAACAATACTGAACAAACGGTGAAAATCGGCCAACTAAGTTCCATAACAACCCATCACCGGTTGCAGGGACGACATCTTGACTGCTCGCGTGACCCATCTGCAGTACGTGCCGTTACACTAGTAGTGTTTAATGTAATGCCATCATTCCGGCGGAACTTATCCCAATGACACTGCTTCTTCGGACATTTATCGGAATCACAGACTCACAGACACCGGCTCCGCCTAAATCCTATAGCTTATTCGTTTTGAATGCCAGCCAGCCATTGAAAAAATTCACTCAAGCCTGTTACCTATTCGATGCGCTCAGCTCATCAAATATCTAACTTCATGGAGCTAATGCGGCGAATTCTGACTCGGGAACCTGCCACGATAAACTGTACCCCAAATACGTGAAAGCCAAAAACTTACCGATCTAGATTTTTCAGAACTTTTCACAGGTTCCCGACTAGCGTGTATGCGCACTAAAAGTCACTTATAACAACCAAACCATGAAGATCTTCCATTCTGTATTCGACACTTGTGCGAGCCCTCTCTTGTGTCCAAAAATATGCAAACAAATCACAATTTTTGTAATCAAGAAAACCAATTCCTTCCATTACATGCGTTTTTCAGTCAACTATGGACGCTGCCACTCTCCCTAAGTTTCTAATACGGGGTTGAGGAGCACTTGCTGGACATACATGACACTAAGATACAGGCTGAGGGAACTCTCCCCATGGTTACTGTCCTCAAAGGCATCAGTTCAACATTGTCTTAGGGATTTTACAGTAATAGTTTGATCTGTGAAGAAGCAAACTTAAGGCTAATAATCGGAAAACTGATCAAGCGATTTCTATGCAATGTTTCTGCTACTCATTCCGATTGCACTTGGGACATTCGCCGCTGGAAGCAGGAATTTTACCCCTTAATCGACTCAACTGTACTAACATTGCGTTTATATCCTGTGCACAGCTCATTCCTGAGTAATGATCACCAACGGACACAATGTACATTAGGCATGAGGTATTGCGCATGTCAAACGCAGTTCAGTTGCAGTTATCGATCGGGTAAAGGTAGTGGACAGCCGGCGTTGCGCACTCCTCAGCATGATTGTGTACCAAGTCAATACAAACAGTAAACTCCATAGATAGACGTTTCTTGAGTAATGTCTTGAGAATTTGAATGGGACAAATTGAAGATGAAATTTATTAGCGTTTCCTGCAGAAATCATGGCTGAATATTATTTGAGTCTTACTGTTGGAGATTTCTCCTTGTTTGAGAAAAACTGAGGCGTATAATAACTCGGGAGGACAACCTGATAAAACATAAACAGCTCTCTGACGAGCGCTCTATTGCTCGGGCAATGTTCAGTTACTTGAGTCATGCTGTTTATAAACAACAAAGAATTCTTCGACAGCCCACGACCGGTTTCGCCCTTCTTGGGGCTCATCAGGTAGGCGCAGTCCCCGAGTTTCCGTCAACTTTATGTTCTACTTGAAACCAAATTGCACGGAATTATCTAAATACACTCATTTGTAAAACAAATTTGGTTCTGCGAGAGTCCCACCTGGAGCCCCGTTGAATCGCTCGTTTGTGATGTTTCCAGACAACTGAATGTGCTGCGCCAGGTCGCCTCATGTTTCAGTTGCTATGATATTCGAGATATCACGATACATGTATATTCGTGGGGCACTACTCATTAGGTAGCTGAAAATTCTTCGGCCGGTCTTGGTAGACCGTCTCCTTACCTACCTAGCCAGTGGATGCCTTAAATGGCTCAAAAGATTTCAAAACTTGTGTCACCCGCATGCGCCCTCACTTGACGCGCTACTTGATTTTGTGTACTGAACGAATAATTGAGGAAGTATATCTTGCAGAATATTCTTTTCCGCTAATAGCAGCCAGTGATAGGGAGCGACTGTTCGGGGTGCCACACGTAGATAAATATGTACATTTCCACTTATTTGTCTACTCTTCTCGGATTTTACAATGGCCCAGTTGATGTCACTTTTCTTTGTAGATACGTCAGCGATTCACAGCCGGCCATGTTGGTTGCCTTGTTGGCCATGATACTGCCTGCCGTCAGCCCGATCGAACTTTGGCGATTACAATACAAACGCCTCAGTAATAGTGCAGGTATGTCCAGTTCTGAATCGATTTTGCACAGTCGGAAGGTTTTAAAAGAAATACTTTCCAACCGATTGGCAAACCTGTTGTAAACAAACTTAATGTGTAATTTGGCTCTCAAACTGTGCTAAAATCAAATGCACATATTCTGGGTTGTTTTTAATGCATCGCTTCTGTCTTGGTATGTTTTCATTCGCGAATGACGTTTAAAAACCGGTTTAAAAACGGTGCAACTGTTCAGCAGAGAGTGCTTGTTGTTTTCAGAACGAATAAGCGTGATTATCGGTTAGCTTTTGAATCCTCTGTAATTTCAGTGGATCACGCGGATTGGTCAGGCAAAAAAAAACACTGTTAGATTATAAAACACACAGTAATCTATGTTGGAATGTTCCGGCAAAACTTCCCTTGGATCCATACCTTGAGGTCCAAAAGATATACAATTTAAATCATTCACTGTGAGACGTTTCGAGATCTGAGCAGTTTTTGGGTTGGCTAACTGACGGACGTTATCATATAATTAACGAAACCCCGTCCCAGCGGAAAACACATAAATATACATACATACATACATACATACATACATACATACATACATACATACATACATACATACATACATACATACATACATACATACATACATACATACATACATACATACATACATACATACATACATACATACATACATACATACATACATACATACATACATACATACATACATACATACATACATACATACATACATACATACATACATACATACATACATACATACATACATACATACATACATACATACATACATACATACATACATGCGCATTAAATACGCCTTTTTGCTGAGTGACATATCTGAACTTTAAAGTACATGGTTATGAAACAGAAAAATAAGAAAAAAACAGTTTGCTGGAGAAAGTGCTCTGACCTAAAGCGTCCTTTGTTTATCTTACCTGTAGTTTGTCCAGGATGTTTCTCCCTAAAGACAAACTCAATTCTTCAAAGAATAACGGCACTTTTTTGCAATTTTACAGCACATAAGGAAGAAAAGGAATCACAGAGTGAGTGACCATATTCCTCTCATCATCGCGGTCATCAGTTGTCACCAGTTCATGATTCACTTCGTGACCACACTCATTGATACTTGTACCAGTGAAACGAGGAGACCCCTTCGTCGCAAAGTCGTTTAACAGAAAACACAAACTAAACAGTTACAAGCTTTTGGACATGAAAGTAGACGCCTCATATGCACACAGTTTTTTAATAAATTGAACATTTTCACGTGTCTTTTTGGACCTTCATGGATATCCATTGACTATCACGCAACTGTAAATGAAAACTGTGAAGCAGTTCTACGAGTTTTGTGATAAAATTCACCTTCCTTAAGCACGGGGTGGAGCTTCGACACAGGCTACACCAGCACCATCATCACCATCATCGGTGAACTCTTCATCCTCATCAACAACATCATTATCATCACGTTCATCAGTATCATAAACAATTTCACCATCGTCATCATCATCATCTGCAGCTTCACTGTGGAACTCAGAACCGGTTTCACATCAGCCAAGAAGTATTGATTTAGCCTATTTTCCACTTGCTTCTGTGTGGCAGAAATAACGATATTGCTTATTTCTGTAACTACCAGTTCTAAGGTTATCCTCACACGATATCAAAGGACAACAATGCTCAGTCACTAAAGTTTTTGATTAGTTTGGAGGTGTAGGAGCATACATAGTGTTTACAAACAGCATCAGTAAAACATTTTCCGTAGATGCATGAATAAAACTCATCAGGGGACTGGCCATTCAACTTGACCCATTGTTTGGTCACAGTCGCGAGGTGACCTTTTAATCGGGCGCCAGTCTGTTGAGTTTAATACCCCAACGACTCAGTCAACACTTCTAGACAGTTCGGTGCAAAACCATAGTATGTACCCTTGAGATATGCACTCCATGCCTTTCCTGTTTGTTTTAACATTACTGACATAGTGTTGTGTTCACATCGTTGCAGCTGAGCACTGATTGGCCGAAAATACACTGTCACGTGACTCATTGCAATCAAATCCGAGTGCAATGATGCTAGAAGTTCCACAAGAACTTCAAAGTATCGGTCAGTGACAGCACGTTGCTTGTCGTGTTACCTGGAATGTATGACCCATTCCACCTCGCATGACTGGAAGTTCTGCACATCCTCACCCAGTATGATCGAGCGACGCGTGCCATTCAGTCAGTATGCAAGGCTCTGACTTCACCCAGTTTCTGTGTAGGAATGTCATAGGTTCGTGGATGCCCATAACTGACAGAACTTTGGTCCTGATGATAACGGTTTGCAAGCCTCAGGCAAAGGTCAGGAGGTCGACACAAGTGGGCGAACTGCCTGAGTTCGGCTTGAACGACGCAGAACAACCGTGGAGCTGTTTGACCGATGGTCTGGTTGGACCACCAGATAAGGATTCGTGCGGAGGTGCCCACCGGTTAATCACAAGTGCCTTTTTCATACCGATAGTCACCCGGTCAGGGAAATATTCTTCCGATCTTGCAAACAGCGCGATGTCACAAGAAAGATATAACTTGTCAGCCAGTCGCAAAAGTGAGTGTGACTCTTGTTGAGACCACCGGGTATTGGTAGTCTTCTATCGTTCAAGCTTATGTGCATCATGCTGGGTAAGGTACACATGTCGTCGGAAACTGCAGGAAACGATAAAAATAGGTCAGTTGAGGATGAAGTTAATGCCAACCCTATCAGTGTCGTGAATTCGATGGCTGGATATCAAGACAACGTTGTATTCGCAGCACTTGCCACAGTCTCCACACAAGAGCCTCACTTTTCCCTTCTCTCCAGTTGTTGGAACTGATGCAGAGACGCCAGCTGGATCGCGTTTCCCAGTGTCGAAAATAACCGGCACCCTGAGACTAAACAGATGAGTCTACTCACATGGGCTTGCTGAACTCTTAGCTGATCCAGACTGACGCCCAGTTTAATCCATCAGCACAATGAGTAGATGGTTCAGTCCATTTATCGTACTAGTAATATGATCTCAGTCATTACTATTAGTATTATAAGTACCATTGTTGGCAGTTTTGGGGTATTGGTAGCTTGGATGCGTTTAGTGGTGGTTAGTCAGGTGGCTGTTGAACAGTTCACTTCAGAGCTTCACGATGACTTTCAGAGGTTTCGTTGAATTTTGAGAAGATATCATCATTAGTGCGTGACGGTGCTATCTGCCAACTTGGTGAACAGATCAGTATCCACCTTATCAACTATCATTAGTATCATAATAGTAATAATTCAAAATGATGCGTGCCTTGTACCACGTAAAGTCTTTTTGGAGGGCTGGCTATCCCCATAGTTTGTTGGAAATTGGTTGCTTAGAAAGGTCCCATTAGATCACCAAAGCCAACAGCCATGTGAACTCATGAGCATCTGAAGTTCTCCTTGCAACCAACGATGTGCCAAATAAGAAATTTCTATCTCAATGAGGTTTAAAACAAGTTGAATGAGAAGTCCAGGTATGTGTAACATGAACAAAAAGACATCCTAGAGTCTACCAAATGCTGTTTTGGAATCACACCTCATGTTCTCACTGAGCGTCCAGATAACATTTAATTCCAGTCCAAAGCAGTATCCGAAATCGAACCGTCCGGTTTTTTTAAAGTATACTATACTATCCACCATCAGCGCGTTTCGCTTTTCTTTCAGAAACGGCCGAACTTAAAAATGAATCCCTTCTTCCCTGGAACGTTGTACAAAAGCGAGTACCTTGGGGTATAATTTTTGTGCTCGGTGGAGGGTTTGCACTGTCGGATGTATGCCAGGTAAGTTATATACACTTTCTATTAGGAGAACTAGGTCCGAACGAATTACATAACTGCCAATGGAATAACCGTTTTTCGTTGAGACAGATTTCATTGGTTGTTCTTCACTCGCCCTTAGCAGATGAGTTGTATTCTTAATATCACTTTTTGATCGCTTGTACGTGGCAGTGATCAATAGAGCAGCTGGCTCGCACGTTCATTGACTTTTCTGGTTTGGCCAAGCGTACCAGGCGATCAAGTGGCTATTCAGACCGGGGTTCACGGTAATAAGAAGGCATTAAGGAGACTGTGGTCCACAACACTTTCAAAACTGTTACTACCCCCTAGATGAAGTATCTAAGTGATTTCCCAAACGGAAATGTCTCCCAATCGAACAGAAACTCGTTCCATGGTTTCTACCTTATCCGAGCGTTCTTCGACAGGTTTTACGTGGGTCGGCAAGAATGGGCTATCCGATCTGAAGTAATGGATTCAGCTGTTTGATAATCTTGTGTGCACTTGCTTGTCACATACGAGCGTGTTTTGGCAAAGCTGTGTATTGACCATCAGTTTCCATCATCTAAAATTTAAGGAACTAGTGTTTATCGACCAAGAGGGACTTTGTGAGGAATACAGCGGGGCATCGCAGCTCCAGAATAAACACGGGATCAACAGACGTCAGAAGCCCTAGCCAGCCGAGAAATGGAGGAGCATGGGGCCCTCTGGAGCGTACTTCAGGGAATATACTGGAGCAATACAGCTCGTACAATTTGAAACAACAGTAAAGCATTACCTTCCTGTAGGCGGCGTCAGCACATTTGAAAGGGGCAAAGATAATGTCTCCTTCAAGACTTGATAATCAGCAAACAAATCGTCATACTTCATATTCATTGGCGACTTCATCAAATGCGACAGCATCGATTGATGTGAGCGTGTCTGCTATAATAATACACTGAGCCCTTCCAAAATTATGGAGAAGCAAACCAGTGGGGGGATTGCGTTTCTGGAAACTTGTAATCGTTTATCCCCTAACCAGGGCATTATGCCACCTGGAATCATCTACGCAGTTTTGTCATCCATCAAATACTTGGTTTTGGTGGAAGTGTCAGCTACGTCCACCTGAATTTCTCGCTTACGATGATTCCCTATAACTAATAGTACTATCTTATTTTTCAGTTGGTATGCTACTCGACATATTACAATACACTGTCTGAACGTAGCACACTCGGGGACTGCGGCTCCCTGATGACCCCCGGGAGGGGAAAAAACGGTTTTGGACTGTAGAAGAGTTTTCAGTAATCATATGAATGGTGTGTTGCAGGATAAACTCATGTCATCCCCGATTTCGGCAAAACATGTAAGTGGAATCTTCATTTGCATGAGATCCACACAGCGGAGGGCGATTTGAGTCGAACAAATAACGGAGGATGCTCTGTACTTTTTAGCAGTAAGTACCTTCATAGTCTGTGGAGTCAGTGGACCAGAGTGATAATCAGGACTGATGACTACATTGTGAACACTGGATCGATTCTGGTTGTCTACAGTCGACAGGAGTGAACACGAGGAGGTTACATTACAAGGAGTTAACGCGTTTCTTGGCACCAACGTAACGAAGTGCCCAGCTTGCAGAATAAAACAACTAAAATACGAAGCTCTGGAAATTATCATTATGACAAGCTTTCAAAGCACACGACTCCTGAGTGGAGTTTAAAAACACTGACCAACATGTCGCCAGAACACTTACTTGAGTTATGTCAACGCCTAACAGTTTGAGTCATTCTGTTTACATCTCACAAATTCAATGAAATGCTTTCTGGCAATGTTTGTTGCTTGATGACGAAAGAGAGTGCGATTCAATCGACCTTGGTAAGGCCATCATTCCGTTGGAACTATGCCTTATAGCAGCCATCATTCCGTTGGAACTATGCCTTATGGCAGTAGCGTGGTATAACACATTCTCACGAGATGTGAAGTGTTGCCCAGTCAGTTCTATCTTAAATCGTCTTGCGTTTACTCTCCAGAGATGAAGTAATGAATGTGTGTGTAATGGGAACTTTCAAAACATTCATATTCTATCACTTTGTTCTATTACATCTTGTTTCCTAATTAACTTCAGTATTCCGGATTGTCCGCTGTGATCGGGAGGTATCTGATGGAACATGTTAACGGATTGCCTGTTTTCGGACTGGTCGCCATTTTCTCAATACTCGGCGCATTCTTTACAGAACTCACCTCAAACGCCGCAACCATCTCAATTCTGCTTCCGATTCTGTTCAGCTTGGTGAGTCGGCATTTGTCACTCGACAGGAATTTCTCTTCGACAGGTGGTGCCTCTGGGGGAATGCAGTTTCACAGACTAATGGTTTTTATGAAAAGTCCAGCTGACTGTTCCGCTTGTGGTGTTCTTTGAATGAATGCGCTGCAAAAATCCCATCTCATGTTTTAGTCGGTACGATATTCAAGGTATTGAATTTTTTATTTGGTAGAACACACTACTCATAAGGTTGCTGAAAATTCTTCGGTTTTGGCCTAATTAGCATTACTCAGGCAGGAAGGCGCCCATGTTTCCGTTAACCGTATGTTTTACTTGAATCCAAATTAGATGCTACCCACGAAATGCAATTCAAGTTAATGTTAACGGGAAAGTAACTTGACTCCCAGTTAAATTTTTCGTTTACGATACTCATTAGTGTCTTTTTTGAACACATGGTTGCATTTGTGAGGCCAGAAAATCACAACCAGGTAGATACAGGATCACACCACAGCTTCAGCAAAGTGTTCCAATCGGTTTGATAGCAAGGGTGGGGTTTCGTTCACTTATGCCTTCCCGTCAAACCCTCAGTAAGAAACTTGGTATGAACTCCGAACAGATTAGTGGCACCCCTGTCGCCATTTCTGACTGCATTCAGATACTGCTTTTCGCATGTGAGAGGAACCCCTTTTATTGAGTTTCTAAGCAATGACTTCATTCATGGACGTTGTGAAGGTAGGGACCAGAACGTATGACCTTGTCAACTATCCATCTTAGCTTTCGATCAGGAGTCTACCAATGAGAACTACACAAGTACAAATAAGATATTTCATCACCAAAATCTAGTAGGCAGATTGGTTGAATTCGAGCCTCTGTTCTTCTTATGCCCTAATGTGACTTGGACACAAAGACCAAACTACGGTCAATGTCCACTGCATTACAGCAAAAATGAATGATAAATGTGGCAACATCTGTCCATGAAGATGAACGAACAAAACTTTTTTCGCTTTTTTACTGCTTTTGAGAAGGAGTTGCATTGAAAAACAACGACAAAGTGCGTCTTAATTGCTTGGTTGGAAGAGTTCTGCGCTAAGGGATCGGACTGTTGTTGCAAATGTCCATATTAGGGGGGAACTGGCACATATATTAAATATGTTGTTGAATCCAGAGTGAACGTGATCTAGTGCACTGAGCCGCGTGCCGAAATTCATTGAATTAGCTATTTCCCCAACTGAGCGGTTTTTGTACCGGAGGTAAGGGCTGTTTGCACCAAGAGATTGAAGAAAGCCTTAAGCGTACAGTGCTCATCCACCCAGCAGAGAATGATAGATGTCTCTTCATCACGAAAGTGGCCTTTGCATATCAAGTAATGCTCAAGCAATAGATATCTTGTACGCTCCATACTGTTTTGAAAGGTACCACTCACAATGTCGCCGCTGCTTGTAAACAGTTTCCAGGGCTCCAAAGAAGAGTAAACTAACTGAGGGTGGTCCTTCTCGTACCAACTCACAGACAGAATAGTTTTGAGACTCGCCATTTTCTCTAGATGAACTCAAATGGTATCAGTGAATTCCTCTGACGCTCACCAAATTTACACATCGGTGAATTTAGTCCCTTCCTCAATTTACACGGTCAGATTCATCATACCCGTGTAACCCAGGTAGCTGTCACTTTAGCCACCATGTGTACTGGGGTTGTGTTGACTCAACTGCCCAAACTCACACGCCGCACGTGATTTTTTGCCCCCTCTCTAGGTCCCGGTAACAGAGATACGAAGTTTTCAATCTGACATGCTGTGAGACCCATATTCCGCTCGACATCCAGAGGGAAGGATCTTAGTTAACCCAAGACAATTTCAAATATTGTTTACACCCCTCGGTTTACCTGAGAAGGATTAAAATCGATGTCCTGGCTGAATAACGCGGCGCAGTTGCATGCCGGAAATTAACCTCAGTAGGTAGTTATACTGTGAAGTAATACAAGACCTCCTATCACTTGCTTCGCACAATTATTGTTTTCTTTAAGTCACTTATTTTTTTATGAGATGCAAATTCTTACAGTAAAGAATGCCGTCGCATATTGAGCGCTTTCGACTTCAATTCGTGTATTGGCAATCTCAGACTGGACTCGATCACTGTTGGTAAACTTATGTAATGTAGAAAAACGGTGCTCTTCAAAAACGTGCGTAGCTGAACGACAAGTGACAGTCACTTTCCGGCCTCACGTGATGCTAGTCTCACACCCGCATTATCGATCTTAACCGTCGATTATCGATTTTAACCGGATTGATTTTTACTCACAGTTTTGATAGGTTCTGTTCGTTTTTAACGTCCAAACCAGTAGAAGAGGTTTCGAAGCGCACACCTCCGCTTGAATGATATTGTTCCTGAGGTCTATGCTTGGCTTGAACACGACCTATATGTATAGCGCTGTTGATTCGTTGTTGATCAACTTGCCTGGCCTTCCAGTCCCCACTAGCGGAACTCCCAATGGTCACTCACGAACATCGTGCTGTCTGAGTAAACCGGATATCGTACAAACAATCTAATTTTTATTTAAATAGCTTCAAACTTCTATCAAGGTTGGTGAACTGGACGTTAGAATGGCAAAATACATCTAACCGGTTCGGTGCCAGTGGGTTGCATATCTCGTGTCCAAACCGTAACCATCAGAGTTAGGCCAAAATGATTGCATATGTTACATTTGTCCTGTTTCATCATACTAGAAGTTAGATGATGAAGCACCTTTCTCCTGGCATGTTGTTGCTGGATGTATAGATTGCGAGTTAGCGTTACTCCTCACTGTTTCACCCGTCAAGGATTATCGCACCGATTTGAGTGTGTGCAGAAGCTTCACGACCTCAAACGCTCTGAAAAGACTATGTGGCCTCCGTCACTGATCCGAAATCGGTCGTGAAACCTGTAATACAGTTAAGTGGGTGGAAATTTGTGTCCAACTCGAACTTGGCGTTTCAAGAGTACCAATCAAGCAATCTACATAAAAAACATTCATTAACCTGCGCCTTAGTTCACCTGCATGTATAAGTAACACGTGAAAAATTTCCCAGTTTCAACTTTAAGTGGTTTTATAATAATCCGTTCGACATAATGTTTTGCTGCACGGACAGTACTCATCTCTTAAGGAATGGCATTTCAGTTAGAAATTTAACAAATGAAGATGCAAAAATTGGTGCGCCTGAAAACTTTTTCGATCGAAATCATTGGTCATTTGTACTCGGGTTTAGTTAGAACTCGGGATATTACCCAAAAAATAAATAAATAAATAAATATCAAGTAAATGCCTCACAAAGAGCTACATTTGCTTGATGACAAATATCTTTGTCATGATATATACTACTGATGGAACATACAAGTAGCGTTTGGTTGAGTATCAAAACTCCGTACGTGCATCTGATAGAAGACTAGTGTGAAAATTATATAACCGCTATACCGTGTTTATCCGCTATGTTGTTGAATGTTCAAAGAAATATTTCAGAAAGTTCAGGAGGACGCTTGAGGACGTTAGCTTTTCAAATTACCCTGTACAAATGATATTTTAACTTTCGTGTCTGCTAGCTTGTGAACGTTTAGTTCGTGTTGTCTTGCACTCAGCACCGAACAGAATTTCAGCCTTGACCTGCATTAAGTATCAAATAAGAACAAAGAGACGTTTCTTCTGGTTTCCTGACGACATCTTGTATGCGTGGAGGGAGCTCACAATCTGACGGCTATTATCAATCTGTTTCTGGCTTTGAATTTGGGGTTACTGCCTAAATAAGCTGGCCCTGCTTTTAAACAACGTTGAATTGATGCGTTCGTCTTATTTCTCTTCATAACGGAAACCTTGAAGTTTAAAATCTTGAGACATGAGTTACAAACTAGTGTCTTTTTTGTTTTGAGTGGTGTAATCATCCTCCAGGAAACATGGTCATAGTCCTCCTTGAGTTTTTTGGGCTGCGCAAAATGACTCAGACTTGGAGGGGCTGTCGCGTACAGCAAACTTTCTCCTGTATTTGGATGCCTGTTTGGGACATCCAGTCCAATTGAGTTTCATTGAATCCTCGTTTCTCAGTTTTGTGTTTCCAGTCCCACTTACACAGTGTCTCATAATAGACGCAA